CTGACCACCCTGCTCCAGGATTCACTGAAATTCCCTCACACACATTCACAGCATCACCAGCACAGTCTCGTGTATTGAAATCACACACACACACACACACACACACACACACACACACACATGTCACATGAAGACAGAGGCCATACCAGCTCAGGTGGCAGAGATAGGCTTCCCCCTCGGGTCTCTAACCCTGGGACCACAGAACTGCTGCTGGCCGCAGTCTTCTCAAATCAACGGGAGTGGGGGGAGGAACCCAAACCAATGACACAGGATTCCTTTGAGATCCCCTAAAGTGGGCCAAAGTGGTGCTGCTGAAGGAGCCTGCCGTCACCATGGTAACCTGCTCACACCTCTCCTGCTGGGTTTTCCAGGGACAAGGCCGAGAGGCCTGGAAGCTGCTGCATGTGTGGACGGCAGCCTCCTGAGAGCCCAGCCACACACTGGGTGTTCCCTCACGAACTGTGAGTGCAGCCTCACGGCCAGGCCGGTGGGGACACCCACCAGTTCCACACCTGCAGCCTCAGCACTGCTACTCTGCACCTCCCACCTGCTCCATCTCCAGCATCTTCCACCTGTGACCATGGGGCTGGGACGGGGCTGTGTTCTAGGATTGGTAGCCCCCCCGAGGGAAAACAGGTGGCAGGCAGACGGCACACAGACGGCATACTGGTCCTCTCTGAGGCTCGGCGACTGCCAACACCTCCCTGTAAGACTCCAGGACAAGGGACAGAAGAGCCCCGTTCTGTTCGGATCCCTCAATGCGGGCTTCCTTTCTCAGGGGTTTGTCTCCTCAGTCTGGCTCCTCAGAGCTTCGGATTGCCCCTAGACTAGGGTCTGAACTAGAGAGTGGGCCTGGGGTCCTGTCTGGGACAGACACACCTGTCTCTGGGGCTGGGCAGGTTTTCAGGGTCTTTGTTTGAGGCTGTCCCTGTCCTTGGGAGTCTGGTGTGTGGTGAGTCCCTAGGTCTCCCTCTACTGGACTCTGGCTTCCTCTTACTCAAAGAGGACCAGGAAATGCCACGCTGGCTCCCGGCTCTACGATGGGGGTCCTGGTGTTGGCACTGGGGGAAGACAGCCCCGAAGGAAGGGTCCAAGGAGGGTATCAGGGTAGGCCCAGCTTGCCTCCTCTTCCTCCTTACTCCAAGAGTGGGTGGGAGGTGTGGAGAGCCTTCGAGAAGGTCCTTCTCCAGCAGGTGGACAGAGAACACCTCAGCTCGAGCGAGTGTAGGCTGCTGTTATCAGATCACACGCCCACCCTGGCTGGGGGCAGTCTTCCTTCCTCTCTTGGCTTGCAGACTGACACCAGAGCTGGGGATTTTCTAAGGGAATGGGGGAGGGGAGGGCATTGTCAGTGGTGGTATCTTTAGCCTGAGACAGAAGATTTTTAAAGGCAAAATTATATTTCTGGTTTGTTGTTTCAGAAGACCAATAAAGACTGTATTTTCCTATGTACTTCCTGGTTTCATTGGGTGGGAAGGGGAGATGGGTGCTGGGAGACTTGCACCCTGCCCCCTCACACCTCCCCAGGCAGTGGAACACAATGCTGAGGGACATCACCCTGATGCACAGGGCTCTAGGTGACACATGGGTACCTCCCACCCAGGGCCCAGGGCCGGGGCCTCACGGCTTCACTGGGAGTCAAGTGGAGGCAGCATCTTGGGTTAGGAGGCAGCCGAGGGCGGCTAGCTCCCGGCAAGGCTGAGCTGGGATTTTAAGTCCGCCCACGCTCTGGCCTGAAGATCTGGCCGCAAGAGCCTCGGGGTAGCCTCACCAGGCAGCACCACAGCTTGTGGAGTGAAGAAGGTAAGCGGGAGACCCCGCGGTGGCTCTGTGCCCTGGGGGTGCTCATCCACCCTGGTTTGATGGAATCCGTCCTGGCAGTCAAGGTCAGATGGGCCTGCATGGCAAGAGGCCTGTTTTTGCCCAGAGGATCCCGCTGTGTACCAGGAGGTGGGGAGGGCTCCTTTCAGGGACTTCTCTGCTGACTGGGTTTTATTTATTTTTATTTTTTTGGTATCAGGGATTGAACCCAGGGGTGCTTAACCATTGAGCCACATCCTCAGCCCTTTTAAATATTTTATTTAAAGACAGGGTCTTTAAATGAGTTGCTTAGGGACTCCGTAAGTTGCTGAGGCTGGCTTTGAACTCATGATCCTCCTACCTCAGCCTCTCGAGTTGCTGGCATTACAGGCATGAGCAACTGCGCCTGGCTGGATGACAGGGTTTTGTTAACTCACTGAGATCGACAGGATTTGCAGAAGCCCTGCTTAACCCGTTACCACCATCTTGGCTTTCTAGGAGTGAATTAAGCACCAGCAGATCACACTTCAGACTTCAAGCATGGATCCTCCAGGGGACAGAGCAGGTGGGGGTCAGAATTAGGCCTGGAAAGTTAGAGGCAGGGGACTGAGGAGAGGGCAAGAGTGGAAGAACAAGGCCTCTGGGATTGTTACTTGGCCAGTCAACTTCCTGGCTGCACTGGCCTCTGGCTGAGTGGGTCTGGGCTATATGGCACATCGGTCTTCAAAGACTAAGAGGGAATTTCCTCCTTCTGGGAACTTTCCTTGGATGGCAAGCCAGCAAGCTAGGAGCAAACCCCAGACAGAAGTGAACCATCAGGATCCCCTTCCCCGAAGTTCAGCTCTACTCGATGGCAGAACTGGGTGGCCCACCTTCCCTAGGAAGTGGTCAATGTGGGATGTTGCCCTCAACTAGCCCTAATCATTGTAGTGGACCTAAGACAGGTCCACTGTCCCGAGGGGAGAGCAAGGCTCCCAGGAGCCTTGCACATGTGTTATTCAAGTATTGGAGTTTCCAGAGGTCTGAAGGCTAAGTCCATACTGAGGCCAAAGGACCCCTAAGGAAGGAGACATTGTGCATCTCTAGATACCAGGAAAGGCCTCTGCACAGTATGTCTTGCAGGACACACTGGAAACCCAGCAGCAAGCAAAACACATTCTATATATCATGGCACCACTGTTGCTGTCATTACACTTGACCGTGTTCCTCAACTGGGGCTTCGAGGATGGGGGAGTGGAAAATGGAGACTTACCAAAAGCTGTCTTTTTAGAAATTTTGCATGTGCTGCTGATAAATCACTTGCTTAGGGATACAAGGACCCCCTTCATCCACCTGCCCTCCTGTATAGGCCCATGGCTTCATGAATGCCCTTCTCCTGTCTTCTCCCCCTGCTCAGTGCACAGATACCACAGTGCATCCCCCAATCACATACACTGTGCTCACCCACTCCTGGAGCTCACATGCACTCAGGGCCACCAGCTTCTAGGGACAATGAATAAACCCCCTATCCCTCCTTGCACAACAGGAACCAGCTGGCTCTGGGATGAGGGAGGCTGAGCCACACAGGTCAGGAGAGGAAATTACAAAATGAAATTAAAAATATATATAACAAAACAAAACAAAAAAACCTGCAGTGTCAGTTCACCAGCGCCTCAGCCTTTCCCCATCACATCCGTGCAACCCAGAGCGTCAGAGCGATTGTCTGCAGCGAGTTAAACTAGAGGCACTGGGACACGGTTTCTATGGCAACCCCTCACGGCTCTAATTCAGCCCTGAGTTAAAAATGATATCAAATAATTGGAGAGTGCAGGAAAGCACAGCCAGCAGCCAGGCCCCATGCCCTTTCTCCTTTCTAGGTCATTAGGGGTGGAAAAGCTGAGAAGGCCACATGTGGGGGGCGGGCAGACATAAGCCCTGCCAGGGCCACAGGATGGTCTTTAGGGAGAAAAGTTTAGGTTTAACATTTGGTCTGGAAGTGGGACTGGGACTTGTGTGCCAGGGGCTACAGAAAGAAAGGTGCTGGACTGTCCTGAGTCCCTTCTGAGAGCCACAGTCGGGGACATGTCACAGACTACCAGTGATGCATGAATTTCCTTGTGACAACATGGAGCAATGTCAGAGTGAGCCTTTCTCTCCCTACTTCCTAGTCCAGAGTGGCAAGCAGCCTAGGACCTGACTCAGGACAGCCTTGCACCCTATGTGAGGCAGGAGGATGGATCCCAGTCTGCCCCTTGTGCTTTCTGCCCTGAACTCAGCCTGAGGACCAAATACACCAGCCCTACCTGCCCAGCCCCAGCCCCAGCCCCAGCCCTGCCACAGGGGGCCTCCCACCTGGCCAGGTCAGACACTCCGCAGCCAGGCTGATGAAGCCTTGGTCGTCAATGCCACAAACACCCAGTGACCAATGGATCACACAACTTTTCAGAATACAGCTGAGTCAGGGACATGGGAGCTGAAACCATGGTCAGGAGGGTTTCAACACAGAGGCCAGATAGTTCTAGATGAGGCAGAGACACCAAAGACTTTTTTAAACACCAGAAACAGCAGAGTCAGAAGCTTGTCAAAGTCATTGGGTGTTCTCGTTCTATAAGTTGGGACAAATTCAGCATCACATAGTGATCTTAATCTTTAAAGACAGGCATTCTGAGTTCAGATTCTAGCTTCATTAATTCTTAGCTGTGGGACTTTGGGCAAATAACTTTTCTGTATCTCAGTTTCCTCATCTGTAAAATGGAGCCAAAAACATTGCTGTCACCTTGAGGACTAAATGAGAAAGTGCTTGGTAGGAGGTTTCCATGGTGTCTGGTACTGATTGAGCATAACATTGAGCTTTGGGGATCTATTTCAAAAGCCCAGTCTTGGAACCCAAGGCAATGGAAGAGGGAAGCAACCTATGAAATGTGAGAAAGAGGTCAGTGTTGCAGTCTCTGTGCTGTGTGATCTTGAGCACATCTCTTCACCTCTCTGGGCTTCATTTTACTTGCTTCATGAATTCTTTGAGGTCTCGTTTTATGGTTTTATAAACAAATGACTTAGGAAGATTCCATTTCCATCCTTCTCACATTTCACCTGGAAAAACTTACAGCTGGAGCCTATGCCCCAGCAGATCACACACAGGGTCTTCCTGCCATCACTGGGTAAATATTTCTTGCATTGTCACACAAATTTCTGGCCTCAGTGGCACCAAGGGCAGCCCTTACCTGCTGCAATGGCTGTCTTCTTGTCCACCGTCACAGTTACAGCGGTGCTGGCCGTAACTGCCACTGGTTCACCGGGGCCGTCTGGGGAAATGAAAATCAGCAAGTCATTTTCTTGGCACTCAGGGAGGAACAGTGGGGTAGGCTGATCCCCTACCCTGACTTGGGTAGAAGAAAAATATACACACTCTGCTAGGACATTGCTTGAATAATGGAGGCGGGGGTGCGGAGGGGTGGAGGGCTCGTGTGGTGTCTTGCTGTGACAGGAGGTTGCCATTCACCACCTGTCTCTGCAGGGTACCTTCAAGGGTCACCTGTTTGCAGATCTGAACTTGCCAGATCAGCATGTGGCCTCTGGCTGCTTGAATGATGGCATGCTATCCGTGTCACTGACACAGTGGTATTTGCTCTGTCTCTGGCTGCTCCCTGCCCTCCTAAGCTCTAGGTGGCACCTGCTTAGGAACGCTGCCATGGCCCCTCCTCTCAGCGAGTGTCCTCCTTGGAAGGCTTGACTTGCATCCGATGCTCCTTTTGAGTGAAGGGACAGGCCGTATTCTGGGACTGGGTGCTTGATGATCCTGGGTTGTCCCTATGAGTCACCATGAGTCAGAGGTGATGCTGACAGTCCCATTCAGGAGGCACAGTGCCTGGGATGAGTGACACAGATGGCGTCTGGCACATGCGAGGTGCTCTGTAAATCTTGGTTAGTGGTGACCAAGCTGCCACAACCATTCCCTGTCTTGTTACTGCATTTCTGGAACATTCTGCCAGTCTCTTGAAGGCAGGAGAGCTTTCCTGTGTTGCTTTACCCACTTCTTTTAGAGGACCACCACAGGTGTGGAATTTAGAGGGCAGCACCAGTTCTATATAAAAATAGAGCTTTCTGGCTCTGGGATGGGGGCAGCCACTCTATGACTTTGGGCTTCTTAATTTTATCTGTCCACAACTCTGGACTGACTTTCCAAAGCACTCTTTTTCTACAGGTCAAATTGCATTATTAAGAGTTCCAAGAACAGGCAAAATTTTATCACATGCTATCCTATTTTGTCAGAATGTCTTGGTAGCAAACGCTGCCTCAAACAAACAGCTCCTGGGAGCCTCGGGTGGAGGCTGTTACTGCAGCAGCGACAGTTGTAATGGGACTTAACCACTGGTTTCTCGTATCTGCTATATTGTTACAATTACCCATCACACTTCTCTGTCACCAAATATCTCACAGAAATCTAAAATTATATTCTAATTCTAGGAACTTACAATATGCAAAGCTGTTCTCGATTCTGGAAATTGGCCATAACACAGTCAGAAGGATCCCAATAGACACAGAAGCCGCCTTCCTCATCTTGCTTCTAGAAACATTTAGAAGACGCCAATATGCCTGACCCCCCGACAGTAGTCCCTAGGCTCTGCAGCTGGTTTTCTAGGAGAGAGTTTCTACTGAAATATACTCTAGCCAGTATATGCCTGTAGGAAACACCCAGGTGGGGGTGTGGTGGCCCTCACGACCCAGTCTCTGGGGACATCAGGAATATCATTGCCTGGGTCACAGAGGCTACTTGGTCTGTGCCTGGGTGAATAAGCAGGGTACCAAGTGCTGGTGGGGTACCTGAGGCTGGCTCAGGGAGAGGTGGAATGTGGAAGGGGGGAGTACCAGGCCTGAGCTACCTGGGCCCTGTGGGACTGCTGGGGCCGGCAGCTTCTGCAGGTGCTGGCTGCCAAAGGCAGCTCGATGTGGGCAGAGCTTAGCCCACCAGGCCCTGGGTAAAGGGTACCAGTGCCATCCTGGAGAGACAGGGAGCCTCTACTGCCCCTAAGCCAGCTCTTTCCTTCTCCTCTGCCTCCTCAGGGTTTCCCCGCCCCGTCAGAATGAAATTGTTTTCTTTCTTTTGGGGGTGGATGGGCGTGTGCAGAGGTGTCTGTGTGCATGAGCCCGGCAAGTACACAAGGGTGTGAAGAGGGAGGAAGCTCCTCCTCCCCCCTCAGCAGTCCCCCTTTTTGGGTTGCCAGCTTCCCTCTTCTTATGGCTCAGCTCCCCACCCACCCACCCACCCTCCTACCTCATCAACACATAAAGCTCCCTGATCAGCCAGCAGCCATAGTCACCTGGTGACAATGCAGGCAGGAGGGAGCCAGTCACCAAGGCTAGGGGCAGGGCTCAGGGCCTCAATGAGAACCTCTCCTAGGGGAGCCCTTTGTGCAGGGCAGGGAGCTCTTCTCTGCTTTGGGGTGGGCACTGTGGAAAGGGGAACTTCACCTTGGCTTTGAGAACCTCCCTCAGGGGCTTGCACTGGGAAAAAGAATTCTATGCCCTCTCTGCTCCCTGCCTTATATTCATTATGGTTAAAAGGCCTGGACTTTGGAGACGCAGACCTGGGTTCTAGTCTGCTCTGCGCCTTCCTTGCTGTGTAATCTGGGGGTGATCACAGATTCTTTCCAAGTAAGACAAGGGATAATAGCAGCTCTTATTTCATGGAGTTATACAGTTCGAATGAGTTGTGTGGGAAAGTGTTTTGTAAAGCACATGAGTTGCTGGAACATGGGTAGAGACAGCAGGCACAGGATGGAAAGGCAGGCACAGTGCAGGGTGAGGAGGCCTTCCACACAGAGGCAGACTCCGTACTGTCCACCTTCCCAATCTGCATCCCCCAGGAGAAGCCCCTGGGAACCTGGGCCTCCCTAGCCATCAGCCCCAGGGCAGCTCTCATCATGAGGCCTGAGGATGGTTTTGGCAGGAGGGTGGTTGGAAGACCTTTGGTAAAAGGGCGTCCTTGAGGGGAGATATGACACTGCTTTCTGAAGTGACACCCAGTCCATCACCTCTTTCCATCTCCCTCTGCCTCCCACTCACCCCATCAGCACTGTGGAGAACTGCAGGCCCCTGGCTCCACTGTGCTGGGCTCAGCTTCTTAGCTGAACTAGGTGGAGAGCTTCTTCGGCCACAAACATGTAGGCTCTTGGACAAGCCCCTCTATCCCTTCCCCTCACTCCAGCCACACAATTTCTTCAAGTGACAATCAAAAGACTAAGGCAAGGCAGACTGAAGGTCCTTCTTGGTTCTAAACATTTTGTGATTTTCTTAGTGTTTTGTGAAAGTCACTTAATTTTTCTCTTCTTGGCCATTTTCCACAGGGGGCGGGGCTGAGAGTTGGATATCAGCAGCTCTTAGACTCTACTTGGTCCTTGTCCTTGTAGAGACTTGTGACTTACTCTGTGAAGACTTGTCCTGGCTATTTTCCTTATATCCTGGGAACCTGCCTTGCTGCTCCTGGGTGATCCCAAGGGATAGAGATCCAGTTGCTTCTTGTTTGTTTAGAAGGAGTTATGGTGGCCCAGTAGACTTGCTAAGTACAGCTGCTCTCCAACGAGACAAAGGCTGGCACTTTCATTTGAGTAGTCTGAGGAACTTTCAAAGGCACTCAGATTTTTAGAAATAGAAGAATCTTAGTGATCAACCCTTTTGATCTCATATTCGGAATTTGGGTTAGAATCTAACTCTCTTGACTTTTGGGTTAAATCTTTTTCTTTATTCCATGCTGGAGTTTTAAATGACCACTTTGACTCCTGGCCTGGGAATGACCAGCCCTACATTCTACACAGGGACCAAAGCATGGGAAGGCTCAGAGAGTTTTCTCAAGTTGTTAATGTGGGTCAGGAGGGAAGGTAGGAAGGAAACCCAGGTGATCTGGATGTTCTGTCCCATATTTCATTCCCATTTTCCACTAAGGGCACAGCAGAAGAAAAACATCCCCATCCTGGTCACAGCTCCAAAGCACACGGGTGTGGATTACCTGGTCCCTCTGCCCAGCGCAGATTGAAGACAAAGCTACCAGCAGGCTGCTCGGAGGCCTGGCGATACCACAGAGGGAAGTTGTTCATCGTGAACACACTGGTCTCATCATCAGGCATCAGGAACATCCTGTAAAGAGGAAGATTTGGCACTTCCTCCAAATCTGGGAATATATTTATCCCTCTTTCCTTTTTCCATACAAGGTCATCTTGGCTGAGCTAAGATAGCAATTCCTCTCTGTTTTGGCAGAGTTGCAGGTAGACCGAATGCAGTAGACCCTAAATTAGTATTGCTCCAGATACTATTCCCCAGCAAACCTGCCAGGAAGTAAAAACAATATCACATCTGATGGCCCATCAGTAACTAGAAGAAGCATGGGTTCTGTCCTAGGAGGACATAGGCAGACTGTTTTGCCTGAAGGGTTCATTTCTTTTGAATACAGCTTAACTTCTTTTTCACTAACATGGCTGTACAGTCAACCTCCATCAGTTCTATCACAGCACTAATAAGAGGGGCATACGTTACCCCAAAATGGTTACTTCAAAGTTACTGCCTCTAGGTTTTTCAGAATGCTTTGGTTTCCTTTTTCTGAGCAGCTTTACCTTGCTAATTATGGCTTTGCATTCCCTGGACGCTCAGCAGCCTACAGAAGGGAGTGTTGGTCTAGAGCAGACTGGGAGGCTGGGAGAGGCTGGGTGGGGGTGGGAGATTCAAGTAGCCCTGGCTGATCCACAAGGTGGGGTATTGATATTTGATTTTGAGAACGACGGCTTTGCATATTCCAGAAGCAGATCTGTTTGGTTGCACGGTTCCTGGGCTGCCAATCACACCAGGGTCTAGGTGAAAGGAGTCCTTTAGGGATCGTGCAGTACACCTGCAGCCCTTCGTGGTGATTGTGTCTACAGGAGGCAAAGGTATTCTGCCACCTGGGGAAATCCTGTCTGTATTGAGAGCTCTTTTTTCCATTCTTAGACCCCCTTTAGAAGGGTGCTGGGAGTCATTGAGACAGCCAGCCGTTTTCCTCTTTCCAACTCGCTCAGAATGAGGGGAGTGGGAAGAGAAGGAAGGAGGAATGGAGAGGGAAGAGCAACTTAATTTGTTTTCCTAGAAAGCTTCAGCTTTGCTTAGCAAGTGTGGATTTGTCACAGAGTCCTGGAAGAAGCTCAAAGATGGCGCTTGGTGCCTGAGTATGCTTGGAATTAGCAGGAGGAGCAGGGAGTGGGTGGGAAGCCCGATGCCGAGGTCAGGTTTCTGTGCTTCTCCAGGTACCCAGTGGCCCTCACCTTTCTGAGTCTCCTGGTTTGCAGAGCAGTAGGTGGCGCTGCTCCTTCACCTCCACTCCCACCCCTACTCTGGACTCCCACCCTCCTGGCGGTACCTGGGCCCCTGCAGACAGGGTTCTCCCAGAATCTGGCTTTTTTTTAGAGCAGAGTTTCTCAACCTTGGCACAGGTGACATTGGGAACCAGATAATTGTTGTAGGGGCCATCCTGTGCATTGCAGAATAGTTAGCATTTCTGGCTTCTACCTGGTAGGTGCTAGTAGCAAAATCCCTATCTCTTCTAGTTACAACAACCAAAAATATCTCCAGACATTGCTGAATGCCCCCTGCAGTGGGGGTAAAATCACACCCCCCCAGCCCCCTATTGAAAATTACTGGCTTAGAATCCTTAGCCTTCCATGACCCCCAGGGTGTTCATCTGGAAGTCCATCAGATTAGAGTTAGAATCTAATGATTTACTAAATCATTTAGTAAATGATTTAGTAAATCATTTAGTAAATGTGGGGCATAGATTGTTCAGAAAACTGCCATAGGGAAGCACCATACATACTGGGCCCCAGGAAGAGTCCCTCTCCCCTTAGGTGGAAAAAATTTTTACAAAGGAGGGGACACAGCCAGCGACTGTGTCAATCACACAGAGACTGGTCCTAAAGAGGAAAACAATTTTGGGTTTCCCTCTGAGCGAAATCTCTGTTCAACTTTCCCAAGCTCAAGGACATGGCTGCTTTCTTGCCTGACTGGACCGCTTCTGTCCTCCTGGTGTGTCCAAGCTGGGGTAGAATAGTAACTCTTCGTGTTTTCTCAATGTGTAAATCTAACCCTTCTGCCCATCCTGGACTCCCAAGTCCCAGCATATCGAAACCAAGTCTCTCCTCTGTCCAGCCATGTGCCATGGAACACCCTCGAATGTTGTCCTTTCCCACCCTGCAGGGATCATGTTCACTGGGTGACCAGCAGGACTCACCTGTCGGAGACCTTCTCGGAACCCACGAATAAGCTGCTTCTGAGGAGGCCAGCCCGGGTGCCCAGGAAGGCCACGTCCACTCCTTGCTCTGACTCACTGTGAGGCAAGCAAAACAAGAGGAATGACCATGTAGATGCTGCTACAGCAGGTCCCCAAGAAGGTCACAGAGAGCTCAGGGAAGACCTTCAGGACTTTCTGGGCCTCTCCTAGCTTGTGCCCTGCTTGGCTTAGGGGGAACTTTGTAGGAAGGCTAAGTTCTTGGGGAGTTGCATGAGATGCCCTTGACTCCTTGTCCCCCTGTTATATCAGGTCCCCCAGCTTCTAGGCAGCATTGTTCTTCTTTCGGTATTCCTCCTGACCCTGTCTTGGCTCTGCCAAATCTGGCTCCTCTAGCTTTAGGAGCGTTGGGCCTGGAAAGCAGAGGAACCCAGAAAGACAGATTTCATCTTGAGACCTATGGAATGGTAACTTCTCATGAGCAGCACATCCACAGCTTCTCTCAACTGTAAAGCCATTTCCACTTATTACTCGTGAGATTGGAATATGAGGGAAGGAGGAGCAGGCACTGTCTCTATCCGCGAGAAGTCCCAGTAGACTTTCTAACTTGGCAATAGAATATTAAGCCACAAAGAAGAATGAAATCATGGCAATGGCTGGTAAATAGATAGAACTGGAGACTATTATGCTAAGTAAAATAAGCCTATGTCAAAGAACCAAAGGTTGAATGTTCTCTGTGATCTGCAGACTCTAACACACAATAAGATGGGGGAGGGGAGGGAAGAATAGAAGTTCACTGGATTAGACAAAGGAGAATGAAGGGAAGGGAGGAGAAATGGGAAAAGGAGAGACAGTGGAACAAATCAGACATAACTTTCCTATGTTCACATATGAACACACCAACCAGTGAAACTCCACAGCATATACAACCACAGGCATGGGAAGTTGTACTCCATGTATATGTCAAAATGCATTCTACTGTAATGTATAACTAAAAAAGAACAAATAAAAAAACCAAGGAAGAAAAGATTGGAAAAAAGAATGATCACAGTCTCAACACCATCAGGCAAAGAATGACAGCAGGAGATTGAAAGGGAATGACCCAGGGTGGAGGCCATCACTTCTGACTCAGTCAATATTCTTGTTCTAAGCCCAACTTCTGGGCAGCGGTGACCCCATTTCTCTCTGGTGCCTGGGTCTGTGGGCTTCCTGAGCATCAAGGTGAACAATGCCAAAGCATCGCCAAGGACAACAATTTTCCTTGAGGCTAGGAGGTCGTGGGAAGAGGTGGCACCATGCAGTGTCCATGGATGGTAGGTATTTGGAACTGGATGGTCTCAAGTGTGGAAAGTCACTGAGTAGAAGGGTCTGGAAACTTCTCTCCCCGACCTCAGGGCTGCAGAGAAGGGCTCCTGTAGGTTTTTCCTGGGCATTTTGTGGGTCTTAAACATCACAGATACCAGTCTGGAAATAGACCCACTGAGTCAGGCCCTTGGGGTGTCTCCAGAAAGCATCCGGATGGCAGTCTCTATTCAAAAGTCTAATGAGCTCTTCACCCACAATTCAGTCTCAACAGTAATCAAGCCACGTTTCTTGTTTCATCTATAGCCCCTCCAACTGACGACATTATTTTGAAGAAAATCCCAGATATTTCATCAGTATTTTAATTTCTATCATTAAAATAAAAGAAATTTTGAAAAAACTTCAATGTCATTATCATACCTTTACAAAAATCTTATATTTTTTTCTTTTCTTTCTTTCTTTTGGTAATGGGAATTGAACCCAGGGGTACTTCCCCACTGAGTCACATCCCCAGCCATTTTTGTTTTATTTACAGACAGGTTCTTGCTAAGTTGCTTAGGGCCTCACTAAGTTGCTGAGGTGCGCTTGAATTTGCAATTCTCCTGCCTCAGCCTCCCAAGCCACTGAGATTACAAATGTGGGTCACCATGCCTGGCTCTGTAGCTTCTCAATATCATCCGATAATCCAATTGAAGTTTGGTTGAACCAGAATCTAACTACTGGTTGATCTCTCTCTTCAGTCATCAGTCTGTCTTTATTGAGATCTAATTCACATACCATACAATTTACCTAGTTCAAGTGTACAATTGAGTGCTTATGTAACCATTGCCGCTGTGAATTTTACAACATTTTCATCACCCCCAAAAAGAAACTCCACACCATTAGCAGTCATCACTGTCTTTTAACCTGATTCCCTTTCTCCTTTCTCATTCTCTGCTTCTCTTTTCCTTGCACTTTCTTTTCTAAACAAACAAGGTCATTGTCTTGTGGAGTTTCTCACACTCTGGATTTGGCTGTGATGCTTTGGTGTTATTTAGCATGCTCTTCTGTACCTTGTACATCTTATCAGCTGGCACTTAGACTTGGGGTCCTGCTTAGATTCAGGTTTGAGCTTTTATAGGTTGCTATGGTTTGGAGAATGACCCTCAAAGGTCAAGGTATTAAAGCCTTGAGGCCCAGGGTGGCACTATTGGAAGGTTCTATGGACATTGAAGAGGTAGGACCTCATGGGAGGACAGTTGGTCATTGGGGTGTGTCTTTGAGGGGGATTGTGGGGACCCTGTGTCTCTCTCTTTCTGCTTTCTGCTCATTATATAAGTAGTTTGCTCTGCTATGATGTGCTGCCCTCACCAGAGGCCTAAAGCAATGGGGCTGCCTGATGAACTGGAATCCCCCAAACCAAGAGCTAAATAAACCTTTTCTCTTTTAAATTAATTGGCTTGGGCATTTTATTATGGTAAGGAGAAGCTGATTCATACAAGTGGTGCACGCCCCATCCAGAGACACATGCTATCTGATTGATAAAGGGTTGTACAAAGTATACATCTTTATTTTTTCTATATTTTAGAAAAACTTCCCCTCATCAATATTTGGTTGTCCTGTAGTACAATTTGTGTAGAGGCATCATAAATAATTGCTATTTTTTGTTTATTTACCAGTTTTTAGAATGAGTTGTTTTCCTAATATCTTCCAAAGCTGACCTATGAGGTTCCTTTTCTTTCCCAGTATGATTATGAACCCAAGGACCTGAACATGTTTAATGTGTTTTAACCTACTATGGTTGCTCTTTTTGCTGCTCTCACTATCCTAATCTTAGCCTGTGAGGCCTCTTCACATTGGCTCTGAGATCTTTTGGGGACAATCTCATTAGTCTTTGGTAATGGTTTACTTCTTAGCATGACAAGATGTTCTGGGTTCATTTATCTACTTAACTTCCCCTGTCCTGGAATCAGAAACTTCTCCATGGACTCATCTTTTTCTTTTTAAATGTTTTTATTCCAAAACGCTCAGTTTTTAATCTTTGCAGACGGAACTTCACTTTTATTTATTTTTTTAAAGTTTCTTTTTTAAAATTTGTTTTAATTAGTTATATATGACAGTAGAATGCTCTTTTATACTTTGATGTATCATACATAGATGGGATATAATTTCTCATTTTTCTGAGTATACGTATTGTAATATATCACATTGGTCATACAGTCACACACATACATACAGTAATAATGTCTGCTTCATTCTACTATTTTTCTTATCCCCACATCCCCTGCCTTCCCTCCAAGACTCATCTTAATGAGGCTCATCTTAATGAGGACTAGTGTTGAATCTTAGTTTGGGGTTGGGGGCGTTCACTGAGGTTAGTCCTTTCAGTGGAGAGATCTTTAGCAACCATTTCAGGTAAAAGACAAAGATATTCTTTCTAATTCTCTAAGAGAAAACATGTCTTGGGTTCAAATTGATATTTCCAATTCATATTTAACATTATATAAAACTTCTTTAATTTAAAAAATTTGCATCTCTTAAAGATAGCCTTTTCAACAAATGGTATTGGGAGAACTGGAAATCCATGTGCAGCAAAATGAAACTAAACCTGTCTATCACCATGTACAAAACTCAAAGCAAAGTGGATCAAGGACCTAAGAATTAGACCAGAGTCCCTGCGCCTATTAGAGGAACAAGTAGGCCCAAATCTTCATCACGTGGGATTAGGCCTCAACTTCCTTAATAAGACTCCTAAAGCACAAGAAATAAAATCAAGAATTAATAAATGGGATGGATTAAAACTAAAAAGCTTCTTCTCAGCATAAGAAATAATCGATGAGATGAAGAGAGAGCCTAAAGAGTGGGAGCAAATTTTTGCCACACCACATCAGATAGAGCACTGATCTCCAGGACATATAAGGAACTCAAAAACCTTAACACCAAAAAAACAAACAACCCAATCAATAAATGACTAAGGAGCTGAACAGATACTCTCAGAAGAAGATACACAATCGATCAACAAATATATGAAAAAATGTTCAACATCTCTAGTAATTAGGGAAATGCAAATCAAACAACTCTAAGATTTCATCTTATGCCAGTAAAAATGGCAGTTATCAAGAATACAACAACAATAAGTGTTGGCGAGGATGTCGGGGAAAAGGCACACTGATACGTTGCTGATGGGACTACAAATTGGTGCAACCAATCTGGAAAGAAGTATGGAGAAAACTTGAAATGGAACCACCATTTGACCCAGCTATCCCACGCCTCAGTCTATACCCAAAGGACTTAAAATCAGCATACTATAGTAATGCAGCCACATCAATGTTCATAGCAGCTCAATTCACAATAGCTAAACTGTGGAAGCAACCTAGATGCCCTTCAATAGATGAATAGATAATGAAACTGTTGTGTATATATATACAATGGAATGTGTATATATACACAATCTAATATTATTCCACATTAAAAGAGAATAAAATTATGGCATTTGCAGGTAAATGGTTGGAGTCGGAGAATATCATGCTAAGAGAAGTAAGCCAATCCTCCAAAACCAAAGACCCAATGTTCTCTATGATAAGTGGATGCTGATCCATAATGGGGGCTGGGGCATGGGAAAAATGGAGGAACTTTGATTGAGCAAAGGGAAGGGAGGGGAAGGGAGGAGGTATAGGGGCAGGAAAGATGGTAGAATGAGATGGATATTATTCCCCTAGGTATATGTATGACTGCACATATGGTGCAACGCTACATCAAGTACAACCAGAGAAAAAACACTTGTGCTGCAATTGTGTGCGATGAATGAAAATGCATTCTGCTATCATGTATAACTAATTAAAATTAATTAATTAATTTAAAATTTGCATATCTTTTTCTTTTGCTGAAATTTTTCTAATGACAGCAATATAATAAAATTTGTCATACCCCCTATTTTTAATAACAATGCCAATACAATTTCTTACACTGTAATTACTTGACATAGTTTAAGATTTCATTTATTTAGTGTTTAGAGTTCTCATGCCCCTTGAAAGACTTTCCCTGTGTAGTTATTTCATGAGCTTGATACATAATTAGGTTTATTAGTTTTATTTGATTTTGATTTTTTAGATTATTTTTAAAAATACTTTTCATTGTTGACAGACTTTTATTTTATTTATTTACATGTGGTGCTGAGAATTGAACCTAGTGCCTCACACACACCAGGTGAGCACTCTACCGCTGAGGCACAGCCTCAATCCCTAGATTAATTTTTAAATTTAAATGTTTCATAATTATATAAAGCTTTGCAGGGTTCCAAAGTCCAGATTAAAAATAAGACATATGCAGAGAAAATGTAATGTATATATCTGTCCCCATGTTCTTTCATTCTTCTTAGAGTAACATCTTGTTTTGTTTTTTGTTTTTGTACCAGGGATTAAACCTAGGGGCACTTAACCATTGATCACATTTCCAGCCCTTTTTCATATTTTATTAGAGATAGGGTCTCACTGAGTTGCTTAAGGCCTCACTAAGTTGCTGAGGCTGGCTTTGAATTTATGATCCTCCTGCCCCAGCCTCCTGAGTTGCTGGCATTACAGGCGTGCACCACTGCCCCTGACTTTCTACTTGGTTTTTCATTTCATTAAAAAATATGTTTGTGAAGAGTAGAGTGGTGGTTACCAAAGCCATGGAGAGTTGTGGGGAAAGATGGGAGAGGTTGGTCAGTGGGTATGAACTTGTAGTTAAGAGCACAAAGTTTTGGTGTACAATGGAGCAGTGGAGTGGCTACAGAAAACAGCAATGTGCTGTCCATTTCAAAAGTTAGAAGAAATGACTTTGAATGTTTTAACCATAAGGCAAAGATAAGTATTTGAAGCAATGGATATTCAAACATTATGCAATATATGTGTTTCAAAACATCACATGGTATTCCATAAATCTACAGTTTTTCTGTGTCAGTTCAAAAATGAATTTATCTGTGTGTGGTGGTGCGTACCTGTAATCCCAGTGATGTGGGAGACTGAGCAAAAGAACCACAAGTTCAAGGCCAGCCTCAGCAACTTCGTGAAGCACTAAGCAAATTAGCAAGCAAGACCCTGTCTCAGAATCAAAAATAAATAGGTCTGAGGATGTGGCTCAGTGGTAAAATGCCTCAGGGGTCAATCCTTAGTACAAAAAAATTAAATTTAAAAGTTTGAAAAAACAAGTAAAACACAAACAAAAAATGAATATGTATATACCTACATGTCTATGTATACCTGTGTAGGTAATTTTGAAAGTATATTTTTATTTTTTCTTTAGATAAATGGTGAGGGGGATTAAGCACACCTTTTTTCTATCGATAGAAATAATACCATACAGCATATAGACAAATGTATCATTTCTTATAGTTGCATAGTAAGTATTCCATTGTGTGGATCTACCATAGTTTATTTAACTAGTGTTAAATAAACTGGTGTGCTTTAGGTTGTTTCCAATCTCTTATTGCTATAAGTGGTACTTATGTGTACAACTTCTCATCTCTTTCAGTGTATTTTTGAGATAACTTCCTGTGTCTTTGGGATTGCTGGGTTATAAGCTAAATGTATACATAATTTTGCTAATTATCTCACACACAGTACATGCTGACAATCTTAGATGGTTATCTATTTAATGGATGAGAAGTACCACCTTGGTACAGGTTGAGTATTGTTCATTTATGTAAGGAATAAGTGCATTTTTTCTCTATAACCGTTCATATGTCTTGACCACTTTTCCTATGCAATAGTTGGTCTTTCACTTCTCTATTTTTGAAGTTCTTTATTTATCATGAATATATAACATAACCAACACGTTATCTGTTTCATAATTGTAAACATTTTCCAGTTTGTCATTTCTCTTTTTACCTTGCTTATGTTTTTATTTTTGCCATACAAACATTTTTATGTTGTTAAATTTATTAGTCATTCCTTTATTGCTTCTGAATTTTGAGTCATTGTTGGGAAAGATTTCCCCACTCCTAGGTTTTAGAGCAACTAGTTCATGTTTTCTTTTAGTACTTATATAGTTTCATTTTTTATTTTTTACATTTAAATCTCTGAGTCACTTGGACTTCATCCAGGTGTATGGTACAAGAAAAGAACATAATTTTATCATTCTCCATATGGCTTTCAAACCAGTTATGAAAAAAAAAAACCATCTTCCCCTCACTGATTTGACGTGATGCTTTGTCATAGACTAAATTTCCACATGCATGCAGACGAAATTTCTGAATTTTCTATTCTGTCCCCTGAGTCTGCCTGACGTTTTGCATGCCAGTACCACACTTCATACACCGTAGAGGCTTTGTAATATGTCTTAGTACCTTGGCAGGGTTGTTCTGGCTTCATTGCTTTTTTATTTTCCAGAGATTTTTGCTTATTCTTGCCCATTCTTCTAAATGAAATTTATAATCCATTTATCTGGATGCAGAAAAATATTGATGGCATTTCCATTGGGATTGCATTAAGTTTATAAATTAACTTGGGAGGATTAACATCTTTCTAATGTTGTGTCCTCCTATTCAAAAACACCGTATGTCTTTCCATGTGTTCAAGTCTACTTTTGTGTCTTTCAGGAGTGTTTCATAATTTTCTTTATATAGGTTTTTGGACAGTTCTTATAGTATATGCCTTATATATTCTTATACTCTTATAAATTTATTACATTTTATTTCTTGCTCTTTTAAATAGATTTGTCTTTGCACGTCATGTCTTCTTTCTTTTTTGAATGTTGATATTATAACCTGCTACTTTACTAAATTCTTTTGTTGGCCACGGTAGTTTTCCTGTTAACCCTTTTGGAGTTTCCAAGTGTATGATCTTGTTATCTTTATTGATTTTGCAGTGCTGGGGATGGAACCCAGGGACCCATGCATACTAAGTAAGCATTCTACCACTGAGCTACATCTCCAGCCCTAATCGTATCATCTTTAAATAGAGATGATTCTACCTCTTCCTTTCCAGCCCTCATTGCCTCTAAGTGCTTTCTCTTGTCTGATGGCACCTTCTGACCTTGTGGCTCAGGGTGGGGAAAGGCCTCCTTTCTCTTGTTCCCATCTTCAGTGGGAGAGCCTCAAGCCCTATTAACATTCTGACTTTAATCGTAGGCCCACTTTGTTTTTATCAAGTATTTTTTGAAATCACGAATGGATACTATTACTTGTTCATCTTTCCTGCATCTACAGAGGCTGTTGTATCATCTTTCTCCTTAGCTTTATATTATTTTATATTCATTTCCCAGGTCATCTTTCCTAACGCACAACCTGGCTAAGAACATTTGCTCCTCAATGTTTCTCAATGTTAAAAAATATCTGTGATTCATCTCTGAACTTGAAAAGAGGAAGATCATGCTCCTCCTCTCCAAACGTAGGGGTCCAGCCTTTTGCAACCTGGTGGCTGGATTCCCGCTGGGTTATTTATGAGGTGTAATACCCTGGGTAAGCTGCTCAGTATGACCATGCCTGTGAAATGAGAGTAATGATAGCAGCTATATCACAGGCTTGCTGTGAGGAGCCAATGGATTCATAAACAGGAAGTTCTTAGTGCTTGGGCTACTGAATTCTTTTTCTTCATTTATTTCAGGTTTAATTTTGTATAGAACTTATATCTACATGATTCAAAATTATACCCAAAAAGTTATAGAGTGAAAAGTGCTCTTTCCAACCAGGTTTTACTTACTTATTTGTCATCAGACACCGAAGGATCTAGGAAACACTGAGGTCAAGTTCATGGATGCTGTGACCTTACTTACTGGAACAAAGCTCTGACCCATTTGAACTGCTCTTACCAGGGCACTTTAGCTAATGAGGTCTGATGGCTAGACCCCAACCCAGAGAGAGGGGTTCTTGGAATGGGGGCTGTCCTGGGGTAGGGATACCAACCTGTGCCTCGAGGGACCTGAACTCAGTGCTTTTTCAAAGTTAGGAGCAGGCAGCAGCGTGGCTGTGCGTGGAAGCTGTGCCGAGCCCCCGCCTTGCTGAGGCTGCTCGAAGGTCGTTCTCACCCCACAGCCCTCCCCACGTGTCCCTGTCCTCATCATCGTTCATGTTCATCTTGGGCCAGAGGGTGTGGGTGCTCCTGAGCTGCCAGCCAGGTGGTAGGAGGGGCCTGACTCAGCCAAGGGAAAGATGGGGGCCTGCAACAGGCCTGGCTGCTTTTCCTCCTGGGAACTGTCAGCCTCTCCTGGTACCTACTCAGAGATGTTGAGAGCCAACGCCGTCCAGTAGGCTTCCATGGGGGCTGTCACCACCGCGTCAAAGAGCACCTCCCGCACCAGCTCTTCATCACCTGGGGGCAAAGCCAAAGGAAACCAAGCCCCTTGAGGCCCCCTGATTACGACCTCAGCTCACATGCCCTTCTAAAGTTCAGGGAGCAAGATGCACCTCGTGAACATGCATCTGGGATGCATAAAACCACCACATGAGTTTGAGGAAGTGAAATCACCTCTTTCAGCTTTCTAGTCTTCATCTCCAAAACAGATGTTAGCAGAACAGAATAATGTCGAAGGTTCTTTCTAATACGGACATTCTGTGAAGTTAGGAGACTCTCTCAATGACACCAGGTTGGGATCTGCCCCCTGCCCCCTCCCACCCCCATCCTCCATCTGCTCCTTGACTGGCAGGACACCTTGGCTTTTATCAGTCCGTGAACTTGACCTTGCCAAGCTCTTTCCTGTCTAAGCACCTCTGCATATTTTGTTCCCTTGGTCTGACTCTGCATGGGCTGCTCTTTCTTTTCCTCTCTTTTAAAATGTTATTTTTATTGACATGAAATTCACATAGTGCAAAACTAACCAATTGGTAGTGAGTGATCCAGTGGTGTTCAGTACGTCCACAATGTTGTACAAGCACCATCTCTATGTAGTTTCATATATTTTTGTTACCCCCAAAGGAGCTTCTACTAAGATACTCAGGGGCTCTTTTTCATCCTTAGCCTAAGTGACACTGCCTGACAAGGTGGTCTGCCTTGCCTGTCCATTCAAACAGGCCCTGTTTCTCTCCATGCAATACCCTATTCAAGGTGCTTATCATGATTCCAACAACTTACATCTACTTGTATGTGCCTAGTAGATTAATGTCTGGTTTTGCCACTAGATTAAGCTCTGTGACAGCAGTGGCCTTGCCTGGGTTGTCTCTGTAACTTTAAGGCCTCCCTCGGAGCCTGACACGAGGTGCAGGCTCCATTCAGATATCTTTGATAGAATGAGTGAATGGGCAAATGAGAAACCTGGTGGGCTGGCTTGAGAGGCAGATGGGGAGGACGCCTAGGTAGCAGGATGACCAGGCAAGAGGACGGAAGAGCCTGCTGAAAGTGTGGCCCAGTGAGCTCTCCAGCTGCCTTTGTGCAGGGGAACTTCAGGTTGGTCCTCAGACTTAGAGGCTTAGAAAACACCTGTGGGCCACGGGCTTTCTGCACCAACTGGCCAAAGGTTCTCCTCTACAGAGCTGAGCACTTCACTTGCTGGGGCTCACCGTTAGGTGGCAGTGGGGACAGATCTGTCAGGTGGGGAGTGCCCTTAACAATGTTCAATTGATAGAGGCTTAAAAGGACCCCAGCCCATGACATGGGGATATCCTGACGTCACCACAGTCCCCAGAGCTTGGCCCTATGGTTAAGATGGTTGTGCCCCTTTCTTTGTGCTCAGGGATAGGGCCGAGTGACAGCCTCCTTTCCCCCTTCATTCCCTCCCTTCCCTTCAGCCCTGAGCTGTGGGATCCCAGAGGCCTGCTGACCTCCATGGGCACGGGCAGGCCCTACTCACACTCCAGGTCTGGATCCTCCCCCGTCAGGAAGCGGACCATGGCCTCCAGCTGGCTGAGCTTCCGGTGGTCTGGGTCAATATCTGTGACGCAGTAGATCCTGGAACCCCGGAGAGTCTGTGTTACCTCAATATAAAATCCTCCTCTTCCCTCCCATCCTCTGCTCCCTGCTTACCAGTCGTTGGCCACAGTCAGATCTGGGTGAAGCAGGTCGTGCAGGCCTGAAACCAGAGTGCACGTTCAGGATGACGCCCGCTGTACAGGCTGTGCACACGGAGTGTGTGGAAGGGACTGGCCCATGTGCTTCTGAAGGCAGGACTGTACTCTGGTCTTTCTCATTCTTAGCCCAGAGGAGGGGCTCACTCAGGGGAACAGGCTGGGTCTGCACAGGCATGCCTTTGCCCACGTGGGCCCAGCTCCCTGGAACGCTTTTTCTACCCATGGCCTCACGTCTGAATCCTACCTATTTTTCAAGGTTCAGGATGAATATCACGTCTTCGTGAGCCACCCGGCCAGCCAGAGGGCACCTTTTCCTTCTCCTTCAGCTTTCACATCACTCTTCCCTCTCCAGGTGGAATCTTAGTTATTTTAGACAAGTCCTAATGCTTCCCCTAGACAGCAGCTCCTTGAGGAGGCCATGACTAGTCTCTCTTAGCATCTCCCTCCAAGGCGCTAATATTCTGAAACCAGTGATTTGGCCTTCATTGGCTCCATTGGAACTGACCGAGCTCAGTGGCCAGCAGACAGAAGCCCAGAAGTGGGCCATGTCTGTCTTGTGTGCTCCCAGGAGCCTCTTGCCTAGCTCAGCACCTGAGCTCAGTCCATGCTTTTGAATGAGCAAATGCCCTCCTGACACCTGCCAGAGCTTGGTCATAAATAGGTGCTCAATAAGGACTTTTAAAAAATTTTATTTTAGGAAAGGAATATAGAAAGGCCAATAGGGCATGTGGGAGACCTTTGAAGGGGTACTGAATGGACACAGACCAAAACCAGCTACAAATATTTAGAGAGGGGGACTCCTTCATTCACAGAGGCCCAACTGACTCCAGGGCTCTAAGCCCCTGGACCAGAAGTGGGTGGGGGACGGCTCTCTCTGTCTCCTGGAGCAATCTAACCTGGGAGTATCTAGGTAGAGGAAGATGAGCCTAGGGAAGAAGAAGGCACAGTGAAGGCTGGGGAGCTTGATGGCTGGGGGACTGTGGAAGACAGACAAGGAGGGCTTTCCAACATCGCAGAGCTCCAGGTAAGCACAGAGCAGAAACCTCACCCAGGCTGGGGCAGGGGCAGGGGCAGGGTATCCCCTAGAAAAGTGTCATCTGAAGTAAACTTGGGGTAAAGAGTGGGGTCAGAGAGGAGAGCCTTCCAGGGGAAAGCGCAGCACACAGGAAGAACTAGGAGCTTGGTGCAGGGGGAGTGAGAATTCAGAGGTGGTTAGCAGGGATGCTGTCAGATTTGGCATTTCTAGAAAGATCCCTTGGGATGAAGTTCAGAGAAAGAAAGAGGCAGGAAGACGAGTTAGAGGCTGCTGTGGTTGTCCTGGGGAGAGGGGACAATGACTGGGGTGGTGGCAGAATGATGAAGCGGTGGATGCATTAAAGGGCTCAGCAGGAAGAAAGAACAGAATGTGGGTGCTAAACAGCATCATGGCCACACCTTCCCAGGACTCCCTGAGACCCTGCCCCAGGATATAGGTTTTGTTCTCTCAAGGGGCTCAGGCAGCTGCAGGTCATGGGCAGGTTGGGTTCCTCCAGTCTCAGCCTCCCTGTAGCCGGGGGCAGAGGTGAGCAGCACCACACTCAGCTTGCTCCCACGTTCTTCCCAGCCTCCTTTGCCTCCCCCCCACTCAGCCCTTCTGACAGGTAAAATGCATTCCTTGGGCGGCCTCCTCCTCCTCCTCTGGTCCAGCAAGGCCTCCCTGACCTGACCATGCACAGGTGGTAAGCCTGGTTTTGACCATTTGACAGCTAACTGGCAGATCCTGTGTGCCCTGGGCATCAGGGACACACATGTCCTCCCTACCTGGTGGCACTACCCCTAGGGGCTGCTCTCAAGCAGGAGGATGGGGAGGTGGTCAAACAGGCTCCACCCTGGGAGAGTCCATTTTTCCCACTTTCCTGTCCATTGGTCCTTGACCTGACTCACCTTCTTCCACAGATGTGTTCCCCAGGAGGACATATTCCCCGTGGCCCTGAGACAGCACCACTCCCAAGCTGCAGAGAGAAGAGAAGACACACAGAAGCATGTGCCCGACAACGTCCCACTGCACCCACTGGTTCTTAGCTCAGGTTAGGAGCTTTTCGCCCCAACAAGGAGCATGCCAGTCAAACCCCCTTCTTCAGCCTTGGCCTCCCAAGTTGTCCCCTCTAGAACTGAGACAGCACCACTACTTTTAAATTGGGCTTTCCTCCTGAGAAAGCCCTGGAAGTTCCAGACCAGGAGCCCCTCGGATCCCATTTTAAGCAAGGCACATTCTGAACCTCACAGTCCCCTCCTCCCCCGACCCAGAAATGTGGAAAGGTCTGTAGGTCTCACTAGAAGACTCCTTTCCCACCTGGTGAGTCCTACCATGCCCACCTCTCCTGGTAGAAGTCAGATCTGAATCTTGGGAGCTTTAAAAGACATAATGACTGGGATCCACCCTAGAAATTTTGATTACATTACAAGAGGCTTGAGCATTGGCCATTTTGCAAAATTCCTTGGGTATTCTAATATTCTAAAATTCTGCAGTCAGGGCATGGTGACAGGAATTTATTGGGAAAGGAAGCAATTCAGAGATAAGGATCATTTGTTTACCAATTTGTATAATGCTTGGAGTCAAATATTTGTACAGTGGGAGGGAACCTAGGAGATATTTCAAATAGATCCTTTCATCTTACAAGAAGTTACTGCTTTGATCTTCTAAGTAGATCATGTCATTTCATCCTCACAACACTGCCAAGAAGTAGCTATTATTATTACCCTCATGTCACAGATGAGCAATCTAAGACACAGAGAGGTTAAATAAGATGATTAAGGTCACACAGCTTATAAGTGATGGAGTCAGGATTCAAACCAGGAATTGGAGTGCAGAACCAGCACACTTGGCTACAAGGGCAAAGCAGGTCTAGACCTTTCCCTGAATGCTGACCTGGGTCTTTTGCTATTACCACAAAACTGCCAACTCAATATGAGAAAACCCATCCCTCTGGAAGTTCTACCCTGAGCTGTTGGTATTCATGTTCCACCCTGCCCACCCCACCTCCACCCCTGCTAATAAGGCAGGGGGTCCCTCACCTGAAAGGCGTGTCACTGATGTCTGTGAAGAAGTAGTCATTGGTTAGGAAAAGAACTCGCTTCTGAAAAGAGCAGAAAGGAGAAGGTGCTTGCTGGAGAGGAGAGTGGCCTCTGGGACCACTTAGCCCCTTGCCTGACACCCTTGGGGTTTGAGTCACCTCTGTACACGCCCCTTACTCCCCATACTGCTTCCCTGACAACCACCACACGCCCCATCATGTTGACATCCACCAGCAGAATCATCTCAGGGTCCAGCAGTTTGCAGCCTCTTGTGGAGGGGGGTGCCTGGCTTTAAGGACCAAGGTGTGGACCTGGACCTGCCCCGTCCATCACAGCTGCCTGTGGCTATGGAGCGCTTGAAATGTGCAACTGTCGAGCGGAACACTCCAATTTTAGTTAACCTTAATTAACACAGGTTTAAATTTAGAAGTCCAGTCTGGCTATTGGCTGCCATATTGGGCAATGCAGACAGATGGTGACTCTGGGGTTCCTACGGGATCAGAGAGGAGCTGGCTGTCCACGCAGAAAACTTCTGGAGCTCATAAATAGACAGTCCGCTTACGACCCTCCTTCTCTCACTATATAACCATGGAGGAAAGAAGGGGGACACCCACCCCTCCCCACTGTGCCTCCCCGGTCCCAGGCCACATCATCCTCTTTCCAACTTCTCTTTCCTGCTAAGCTGCTGTGTTCTAGGTTGCAGTTTAGTTTGTACCATCAGGTCGTGTGCATACAGTGGCCAAGGGCACGGGCTGGGCTGAGACAAATCTGGATCTGAGCCCAGCTTGGCCAAGCTGTGTGTTCCTGGGAAAATCACTTCATTGCTCAAAGCATCAGTGTTCTCATTTATAAATCATGACTCATGTTCATATCTCTTGTGTGAGGTTGCTGTGAAGTTGCCTGCTAGGCTCTGGAGCTCCGTGGATTGTCCTGCCCATGGACAGAGGTTTATGTCATTGGGAAAGCTGCATTCTGCAGATGGCTCAGGATCTGTTCTATTCTTTTCACTCCTGACTTTTCTTCTTTCACTTTGGAAATTGGAGTGAGATGTTGGAAGGAATGTAGAAGAAGACGGACACCAAAAAAAAAAAAAAAAAAAAAAAGGTTTGCTTTGGTAGGAAACTGGCTTTATACCAAACCAGAGGAGTGGTTCTCTAATCCTGGACTCACTGACCAGAGAGTCCCTTTGCCTCCTCTGTATCAGAGTGCTCCTCCCTTAGGGTCCCTTCAACAGAGCAGTCACAGGGATGTCCTGGGAAATCAGGAACCAGCACAGGTGATGATGGGCTCAGGAGCTCTGTGCTCCGAGGTGGGCTGACTTGAATGTTGGAATTGGAGATCACTTTTTAAATTTTTCCTTCTTTTTTGCGGGGAGAGTGGGGTGGGTAGCGGAGACTGAACTCAGGGGCACTCAACCACTGAGCCACATTCCCAGCCCTATTTTATATTTTATTTAGCCACAGGGTCTCACTGAGTTGCTTAGCACCTTGCAGTTGCTGAAGATGGCTTTGAACTCATGATCCTCCTACCTCAGCCTCCCGAGCTGCGGGGATTACAGGCGTGTACCACACCACACCTGGCATCCTTCTTTTTTATTTAAAAAAAAAAAACTTAGCCATTATGGAGGGTATGAAATAGAATCTTGAAGTTTTAATTAACATTTCTCTGATGGCTTATACTGTTAAGCATCTTTTTAAGTGATTATTGGTCATGTGTATATCTTCCTTTTTGATGTGTCTACTCAATTACTTTGACAATTTTTTTTTTTTTTTACTGCATTGTGAGTCTTCTTGTTATTGCTTGGTAGGAATTATTTACATATTGTAGATACGATCTATGCTTGTTTTTTGAATTTCTTATGGTTATCTTTTTTTAAATATTTGGTTTTTAGTTGTAGGTGGATATAATAACCTTTATTTTATTTTTATGTGGTGCCAAGGATGGAATCCAGTGTCTCATGTGCTCTAGGCGAGTTCTCTACCACTGAGCTACAACCCCAGGCCCCATATGATTGTCTTTTGATGAGCAGAACTTTTTGCTTTGATGAAGTGCAGTTTATCCAATTTGATTTTCTAGTATTTTTGCCTAAGACATCTGCATACTATCATGTTGAGAAGACCTTTTTTAAAAAAAACATTTTCTTGTTAAAAGCTTTATAGTCTTAGCTTTGACATTGAGGACTAGACTTCATCTTAAATTAACTTTTGTGTGAGGTCTGAGATATAGCTTAGTATACACTATACTATAAGCTATATCTCAGACCTCACACAAAAATTATCCCATTTATTCAGTTGTAGTAACAACATTTGTTGAAAAGACATTCCTTTCTCTATTGATTTGCCAAAGTGTTTTTATTGAAAATTAATTTACAGTATGTATGTGGCACTATTTCTGGATTCTCCATTGATCCATTCATCCATTCTTTTGTCAATACTACCCTGTTTGGCAACTGTAGCATCAGAAATTTATAGTAATTTCTGAAGCTAGGTTGTATGAATCATTAAAATTTGTTGTTTTATCTCAAGATAGTTTGGCTATTCTAGATCTTTTGCATTTTATCACATCAATTTTAGAATCACCTTGTCTATTTCTAGAAGTCTGGTAAAATTTTGATTGGGATTATGTTGAATCTGTAGGCCAATTTGGGAAAAACAAACATCTCTCTTAACAATTTTGATCTTACAACTCATAAACAAGGTTATAGTTTTCTATTTATCTAACTTTTACTTGATATTCTTTCAGCAATGTTTGGTAGTTTTCAGTGTAGAGGTAGGATATTATAAACTTTCTTTTTACATTTATCCCAAAGTATTTTATACTATTTGATGCTACTAGAACTTAAAAATAATTTAATTTTAATTATTTACTGCTAACTATAAAAATAAAATAGATTTTTATAATGTTGGCCTTGTGCCCTGTAAACATCCTAAAGTTATCTACCAGTTGTAGAAGTCATTTTGTAGATTATTGAGATTTTCTAGGTACACAATAATCTTGTCTGTTAATGAGGATAATTTTACTTTTTTTCTAGTGTTTGCATTTATTTTGTTTTCTTGCTCATTTCACAGGCTTGGATCTATGGGACAATGTTGAATGGAAGAGGCAAGCAGATATCCTTGCTGGGCTCTCAGTTTTAGGGAGAAGGTATTCAGCATTTCATCATTAAAGTTAGCTTTAGGTTTTTCATAGGTGCTTTTTATCAGATTGAGGAAATTTCTTTTTGTTCCCAACTGAATTTTGTTAAGTGTTCTTTTGTTATCTATTGAGATGATCCTATGACTTTTCTCCTTTATTCCGTCAATGTGATGAATGACATTGCTTGGTTAGTTTTTTCTATGTCAGATTAACCTTACTTTGTTGGGGTGACCACACTGTATACATTTCCATGTGTATTATTCCATTATTTTCTTTTAATAGTCAATTGGCTTTTTGAGAAATTAAGAGAATAAATAACAGATAGCCTTATATTAAGCTACATTATTTGCCCTTTCCAGGGTGGTTCATTCTCTTCTGTAGGTCTCAGTTTACATTTGGTTTCATTTTTCTTCAGCCTGAGGAATATCCTTAGGGATTTCTTGTAGTACAGGTCTCATAGTGATGAAGCCTCTGTTTCCTTTATCTGAAAAGGTCTTTATTTCACCTTATTTTTGGAGATTCTATTCTCTACATATAGAAATTTGGATTGGCAGAATATTTTCCCTTCCAGCAGTTTAAAGGTGTATTTCATTGTTTCTGAATGAGAAGTTGGCATCATTATTATTGTTTCTTCTATAGGATGCATCTTTTTTTCCCTTGTAGCTTCTTTGAAAATTGTCTCTTAGCTTTGATTTTCCATAGCTGGACTATGATGTGCCCAGATATAGTTTTCTTTTTCTTTTTCTCCTGCATAGGGTTTGTGGATACTATTGGATCCATAGGTTGATATTTTCACCAAATTTAGGACATTTTTGGGTATTTGTTTTTCAAGTTCTGTTTTCTGCTCCATCTGTCTCTTTTCCTTCTGGGACAACAGGAACATATATCACTTTTATTGTCCCATGGCCACTAAGTGTCTTCCCTCGTTTCCTTTCTTCTTTTCTTTCAATTTCCCTCCTGTTCTTCAAACTGAGAAATTTCAATTAATCCATATCCAAGTTGACTGTCCTTTCCCTCCCACTCTGCTGGTAAGCCCATTTAGTAAAATTTCATTTTGATGGTGGTATTTTGTGATTTTAAAACTTCCATCTGGAAGCACAAGCCACAAAAGCAAACATAAACAAGTGTACTACATCCAACTAAAAGGCTTCTGCACCTCCAAGGAAACCATCAACAAATGAAGAGGTAACCCACGGATTAGAGAGAGTGTTTGCAAGCCAGATATTTGATAAGGGGGAAATATGTAAAGAATTCACACAATTCAATAACAAAAGGCCAAATAACCCAATTTAAAAATAGGCCAAGGACCTGAACAGATATTTATCAAAAGAAGACATGAAAATGCCAATACGCATAGGAAAAGGTGCTCACCATCACTAATCATCAGGGAAATGCAAATCACAGAACTGTCATCTCACACTTATTGGGTTGAATTTTGTGGGGTGGGTACTGAGGATTGAATTCAGGGGCACTCGATCACTGAGCCACATCCCTGCCCCTATTTTTTATTTTATTTAGAGACAGGGTCTCACTGAGTTGCTTAATGCCTCGCCATTGCTGAGGCTGGCTTTGGACTCTCGATCCTCCTGCCTCAGCCCTCCAAAGCTGCTGGGATTACAGGTATGTGCCACTGTGCCTGACTGGGATGGCCTTTTATCAAAGAAGACAAGAAATGACAAGTGTTGGTGAGGATGTGGGAAAAAAAGAACCTTTGAGCACTGTTGGTAGGAATGTACACTGGCGTAGTCACTGTGGAAAACAGCATTGAGGTTCCTAAAAGAAAAAAAAATAGAACTACCATATGACCTTGCAAACCCTTTGCTGGATATATGTGCAAAAGAAACCAGCACCTTGCAAAATTATCTGAAAACTCGTTTTCACTGCTCTATTATTCACCACAGCCAACATATGCAAACAACCAAAGTGCCTGTCGATGGATGAATGGATAAAGAAATTGTGAGAATGTGTATTCTTACATATATAATGGAATATTATTCAGCCTTTAAGAAGGATATCCTGCCATTTGCAATGACACGGAACAAACTAGAGGGTATTATGCTGAGTGAAATAAGCTGGACACAGAAAGACAAATAAAATATTGCATGATCTCAATGGAATCATGTGGAATCCTATAACAAACAGTCAGATACACAGAAACAGAGTAAAAGAGTGGTTACTAGAAGCTGAGGGATGGGTGGGTAGAAAATAAGGAGATGTAGGTCAAAAGCTACAAAGTGGCACATGCCTGTAATCCCAGTAGTTTGGGAGGCTGAAGTAGGAGGACCGCAAGTTCAAAGCCAGCCTCAGCAACTTAGTGAGGCCCTAAACAACTCAGTGAGACCCTGTCTCTAAATAAAATACAAAAAAGGGCTGGAGATGTGGCTCAGTAGTTAATTGTCTTTGAGTTCAATCTCTGGTACCAAAAAAAAAAAAAAAAAAAAAAAAGCCACAAAGTAGAAGTTTGGAAGGATGAATAAGTCTATAGATCTATAGTTAATATTATACTTATTATGGTTTGGATATACAGTATCCCCCAAAAGATCATGTATGAGACAATGAATGCAAGAAGGTTTAGAGGAAGAGATGATTGGGTTATGAGAAATGTTAATCCTGATGGGATTATCTGAGCGTTAACTGAAGGTGGGTAGGGTGTGGCGGGAGGAGGTGGGTCATTGGAGGCGTGGCTTTGGGGTATACCTTTTGTATCTGGCCAGTGGAGGTCTCTGCTCTCTGATCATTATGTGAGCTGCTTCCCTCTGCAACACTCTTTTTCCATGATGATCTGCCTCACCTGGAGCCCCCAAGGGGGGGAGCTGGCTATCTCTACAGTGAGAACTCTGAAACCGTGAGCCTCCAGATAAACTTTTCCTCCTCTACTATTATTCTGGTCCAATCTTTTAGTCACAGCAGTGAAAAAGCTGACTAAAACAATACCCTAGTGATTATCCAGGAGGGTAGAGTTTAGGTATCCTTTCCATAGGAAAAGCTGATAAAAAGGAAAGGTAGCTATATATGAGATGTTGGGCACAGTCATCATGCTTGACTGTAGTAATCTCTTTGCTATTCATGTCTATTGAGGCGTTATTTGTACATCTTAAATATACAAACAACAGGTCTAATGTTAAAAGAAAAAGTTTCCATTTGGTTCTTGTAGAGAATTTGTACTGTGTCAAATAGCTGAGCTGGAGCTACATTTCTCCAAACTGAATTCCCTGCATGGCTCAAAGTTTGGGGTTGGCCAAAGTGAAGTCTGCATGAGACTTGGGGACAGAGGCCAAGTGGCAGCTGTTACACATACTGATTGCAGGTACAGTCCACCAGCACTGTGCAGTTTGCTCTGATCTAAAAGTGCCTGCTGCTGCCTTGTTATGTGTGTGTACACACGTGGGCACCCAGGTCAACAGGGTCACGAATTTGGAAGAACCCAAGGGCTAGCAAAGAACATTATGCCTGCCTCTCTCCTTCCCTCATTGCTAATTGTTTGTTCCAAATGATCGACACTGTGCAATGACTAAAAGACTCCTAGGTTATGTGCACTAGGTTAGATGCGCTTGGATACTTTTGCTTTTCTGGATTATTCTTTTAAACATGTCTAAGGATACCTGGCCAGGATGCTGCTGATAGGTCAAAGGTATGACACCTGTTATTGGTCTACATTTTGGAGAAAAAGGAGAACAGGCTGAAGCTGGACCCCTGACAAGTTTGATATCCTGGATCTTGGCCCAGGCTGTGCTTTTAATATTTTTGGAATTAGCTGGACATATTTCAAATTCCATTTTTGACTATGTCCTTTAGACAGCACGTATCTCTCCAGTTTGCCCTAGCCCCAGCACCCGAGCCCTGAAACCTCTGTGCTTCTCTCATTCACATTTCTTAACCTGACCTATTTGTCCCTGCAGGTTTTTAAGTTTGCAAGTCCTGCTCTCCATCACGCTGTGGTTTCTACTACTGTTCTTGGGGATGCCACTGTGGCTGCACATCTGCAGATGGGGAAAGGTCTGAATTGATCTGTGGGATGTAAGGATGTTTATAAAGTCTGAAGGAGAAAACAACAGAGCCAGTGACCACGTGCCAGGATGTGGCTTGAGTCATAATAGATATTCCCCCAATGCTTTAAGAAAGCTTTTCTTGGCTGAGACCTGGACCTGAAGATTGTTTCTATGGAGGAACAAGCTTGTAAATTGAGACACACCACGGAGCTGGGAGAGAGGGCTGGGATTGACTAGCAGCAAGAAAATAATGACACTGTCTGCTGACTGTTAGAGAAGATGTGGGGGAGACAAAGCAGTTGGTGGTGAACACAATGTAGCAATACCCGGGAAAAGTGGCATCATAATAGATCAGAGTAGTCAAAGGCTGGCTGCCACTGTGCTGGCCACATACCAGCAAAATGTCCCCCACACAGTGTAGGCTCGGGAGCTTCCGGGGGTGAAGTGAAGAGAGAAAATGTTAAAGAGAACTGAGAGAGATCTGATGGGGCAGAGGGAGACGGGACAATGAATTGTCTTGCTTCAGCATTGGGAATTGACCCTGGACTCTCACATAGCAGGTGAGTGCTCTTCCACTGAGTCACAGCCCAGGCCCTAGGACAGTGGATTTTAAAGATGAAAGAGAAATGCTAATTCCAAAGAGGCTATGGGGAAACCTTTAAGGCTGGAGAGTTGAGAACTCAGGCCAGTCCTTCAGAAAGGCCCTCTGCAGCAGTGGTTTGGGAGTGGGTTCTAGAATTTTCAATTTATCATGTAGGTGACCCCAGGCAAGTTTTTGGCCTCCTAGGATCGTATTAAATGAGCGCTCAGTCCAGTTCCTAATAAATGTGGTTCACCATTAGTAGTCACAGTAGTAGAGTAGCAAGACACACACGTCTACATGCTATGAAATATCCATCATCGTCCTTGTCATCGCAGTCATCCTACTTTATGTCAAAGTATCCATATGTCATGAAGATGGTTAAATTGCAAATATGTAGCCTGGATGGTTTATTAGTAGCAGTGAACAAATTTCAAAGGGATGGAGCAGTGGTTTCAGGAGAAGTTGGACTGCTGGGTCTGGTTAGGCCTCTGCCTTGGTGTCTTGGAGAAGTGTTTGGCAGCTCTATACCCATTGCAAAAATCGATGTAGGCTGGGTATAGCATAGCCAGACTCAAGTCTCTCTTTAAGTTGCCTTGGGCCATGTGCATATTGAAAGTTTCATTATTGGTGAGATACTCTGGCAGGCCTGAGCTAAGTGAGAGCCCGGTGCATGGAGGGGGAGTCTGGGATAAGGATGAGGGTGCATGAAAGAAACCTCAACGTCTTGGGGGACAGCTCTCACAGGTAGCCTGATATCAGGGATACGGTCTTGTCTGCTGGAAGGAGGCCCTTCTCAGCTCAGAGCTTGTAAAAATCCAGACAGATGTCACAGAAATCAAATATTCCCAGTGAAAATCAGCGCATGACCTAAAAGGGACACTTGAAGTTCTTGCCCTTCCCAATGCTTTCTTGTTTGGCCTCCACGGAGGTCTGCGTTTGTGGAAGAACTTGGGTCTAATTGTTGCAGACAGATGCTGTGTTCTCTCAGCTGAGGCAGATGGGCAGCAGGAGGAGGAGGTGGGGGTGGCTGTGTGGGAGGAGGTGACATTTGTAAATATGTCAAGGGACAATGAGAATTCAGTGGATGCTTCGGAACCTTCTATATGAGAAAATGAAGTGGTCTTTTCTAGATGATGTGCAGTCTGTAAAAACGATAATGGTACCAATGAAGGTACCGGTCCTTGATTCTCCGTGGTGAGAGTCGGTGGAAATCAGCTACAAGAAATATGGAGGATTTTCAACCTCTTCCCACAAAATGTGTTGCAGCAGAGCTGCTGACAATTTGCAAAATGGACTGTCACATTTCCCTTTCTGTTATAAACAACCAAGGGGCCCAATAGCGGGCAGCCTGCGGAGGAAGAAGAGCTGTGACTGGGACTAACCCACCCCACTCGGCAGCTTCCAAAGAGCCAAGTGTGGGTGCGAGCAGCAGTGCAGGCCTTGGCCAGGCGTGCGCCCATGGGGCTGCGGGTTTTGGATGGGCCCCTGAGCAAGTCCTCCAGGCTGCAGAGAGCACCCACTTCCCAAGATCTAATTAAGCTAAGTCCAAGGCAAACCTCAGTGAAATGCCAAGAAGCCACCCTCCTTGCCCGCCCTTCCCGGCTCCGTCTCCAGCTCCTTACTTACCCCTTTGTCCAGCGGAGCCTTCACGTCCATGGTGAAAGAACCTGTCTCCCTATTGATCATGGCCGTTCTCAGCTTGGAGAGGAAAGACAATGGCGTCAGTTCCTTGGCACACAGTGGGGTGATCGGACAACAGGGGATCCCCTAGGACACTGGCTTCTTCCAGGTGTCCTCTGAGCAGAATACCAGCGGGGAAGACAGACCCGATTCTGGGAGTCCTTAAGCTTGTCACTCTGAGTGGGCACCAAGGCAATGCTCTGAAGCCAATGGAGGCACTGGGGGACACCGGTGTCATGCTGCTGAGACATAATTTCCTCTGGGATGAGACCAAAAGCCAGGCCAAAACAAACTCGGTCGCTGACAGATATGCTTTTGCTCCACCTCCCTAATCCGTGTCACTCAGGAAGACAGTGTTATGTTTTCAGAGTTCAAGGAAGTGCCCCTTATGGGAATTGCCTCCGTCTTGGACTTGAAAAGACTCTGGGACCCAACTGCTCTGTGTGCAGGGAACACTGACCCCCAAACTCATAGCCTCTCACAAGTGTCTCCTCCCCCAGTGTCCCCACTCACGATTTCAGCCTTGTCTTCCCACTCCACTTCAGACAGATCCACGCTATTGTAGTTGGGTTTGGGTTTCAATTTCTTCCCCTCTCTGTACTGGAGTGGGCCGGTCAGGAAGGAAAGCACGAGGTTAGCTCAACAAATCAAAGAATCTCAGCGATTTCTTAAGTTTTACTTCTACTTCTACCCAGGGTAGAGCTTCCCCTGCCGACATTTGCCACAGATGGGCTCATGGCCTCTGGGTGAATATGTCCCAGGATGAGGCCTTCCCTACTTTGTGAGCCGGCTTGGACAGCTCTAATTGTTAGAAAGTTCTTCCTCCTGAGGAGCTGGAATCTGTCTCCCTGCAACTTTTACCCATTGATCTCAGTTCTCTCCCTGGAGCCACACAGATGTGTTCCTCCTGGCAACCCTAGAGATTTCACAGGCACGCGTCACTCCGAGACGTCTCCAAGCTGAACATTCCCAGTTGGCAGATGTGTTAGCTGCCTCTGCATAGGCTTTACTGTCAGTGTCACTCCCATAGTGGAACCCCAAGACAAAAGTCAGTATTCCACCTAGGCCAATGGGTGGGGGTGTGGTCTGAACTACCTCAAGGCTGCTCTGACCCCTGCCTAGGAGTCTGCTGGGCTTCCCGACAGCAATGCCACCTTGGCAGCTCAGAGGGTGACTTCAGTAGGTCAAACCTTGTTGGGCTTCCCTAGGTGATACACTGTTAACTTACACCTTCACGGTCTTTTTTTTTTTTTTTTTTTTAAATATTTTATTAGTTGTTGTTGGGCCTTCATTTATTTTTATGCAGGGCTGAGAATCGAACCCAGTGCCTCACACATGCTAGGCAAGTGCTCTACCTCTGAGCCACAACCCTGGCCAACGTTCTTTTTTTTTTTTTTTCTTTTTTTGAAACCAGAGGCACTTAACTGAGCCCCATCCCCAGTCCCTTTTTATTATTATTTTTTCTTTTGAGACAGGGTCTCACTAAATTGCTGAGGCTAGCCTTGAACTCTCCATCCTCCTGTTTCAGCCTCCTGAGTTGCTGGGATTACAGGTGTGGGCTGCCACACCCAGCACCTTTATGGTCTTTCACAGAGCTTTCCTTGCATCCCTAATATATTTAATCTCATGACTTTCAGCCCTTTGTTTGAGAAGAACGCCTTCTGAGTACTGATTTTTCTCACTGACTGTATTAGCCAGACCTTCCAGATTTGATGGCATTTGCCTCCTGCATTTTCATCTTGTTGATAGGATTTTGAATGCTACAGAGATCTGCAGTGCTTCATAACGACCTCTCTACAACTTGACATCGTGCCATTAATCAACACTCTGAGTGTCATTATTTTCTAGCATCGACACCTCTGTCTCCCTCTCTGTCAAGACAGATATTGTCAAGTTTTCTGCAATTAGGTCTGTAACGCTTCCCCGGTTTAGTTTAGTAATCCCATCAAATAAAGGAGAGAGGCTAGTTTGTCATCAGGGTAAATTAAAAAATAGAGTGGTGTCTACTTCAGTAGGATGAGGCCCCCAGCAGATGCTTGTGTGGCTGAAGTCCTTGTCATTATCTTGCTTCTGCCAAACTTTTTTTTTTTTTTAAATCATTCACTCAGTTTCTTCAGGAAATCATCATTCTTATTTCTTGTCTCTCTGGTAGGTCTGTGGTCTCACTGTCACAGTGCTGTCTGCCTTCCATTCTTCTCCTTTTCTCCTCACTCTGGCTTGCACAATGCTCCTGTTCTTGGCCTCGTTGATGTCCAAACTCATTGAACTGCACTGTCCCTACATCTCTTCCAAGGGATCTCTTTCTTTGGCAATAGTCCACTGCCATTTCCTAAATCCTGATGGCACCTGAAAGATTGCCTTCAGTCCCTTATTTTAAAACCATGATTCCACTTTCTTAGGGGCACTGATATAGAATGATTTCAGGTTAACAGAATGGCTTTTGACTTGCTTGACTGTGGGAGACCAACCTTGCACATGACTGAGTCATACTCCCTGGCTGGGTGCTGAGGCGCTCAGTCACAGAAATGTGGCAGAGCTTTCCCCACCCTTCTTGGGTTCCAGGGTCAGTGTCTGGTGCATGGGTGAGTCTTGCTACAGCCCCATGGGTGAAGCTACACTCACCTGTTCCTTTGTAATAAAACCCCTTGCCCTGTTTAGGATAGAATCTTCCATGGAAGTGCCTTGTGTGTGTCCCCTTCTCTTACTGTGCCCTTGGGTGTGGCCTACCCAGATGTCAATCAACCTGCTGACAGTGGATATAATGAAGACAGACTCAGCCCCCTGAAACCTGACCCCTTGCCTCATTTGAATAGCTTCTCCCCAATAAAAGGGGTCAGCGTGTGCTCTCACTCTCTCTTCCTGTGGACCCTTAAGGTCAGAGGAGCTGTCACAGCGACCCCATAGAAAAAGGTATCTGTGTCTCTTGTGTGGTTATTTCATGCAGCCCAATTAGCCCAGTTCAACTGGAGTGACCCTTGAGCCTTTTAGTCAAGAACAGAAACCCGGCACTTGACTACATCACTAGCCATATCCTCCATGACTTTCCTGAGAGTGTCTTCCAAGAGATCTCATGACATTGGCTTCACCATACGTTGTGTAATTGAGTCCCATGTGCTATCACCCTCTATTTGTTTCATTATGCACATCTTATTTCCTTAATTGGATATACATTTCTGGTTCTAGAATTCTTCAAAGCATCATAAGGCCAGACACACAGTAGGCCCACAGTATGAACTGATTGGTGGAAGCCTGATATTCATCTTGATTCTATAGGTGGTGATAGGTGGGTTTCTCATCAGGGCCCCTTAATTCTACAAGTCAGTGCCAGGATCAACATATGTGTCCCCCACCCCCAATAATTCATTTGCTAGCACTTGGGATTGTCTCCTGCAGAACTTACTGGTCCAAGATGGTGACATGCCATGGGTTCAGATGCTTGCCCCTCAGAATTGAATTGTGAAGACAGAGGGGACATGGTGGTCTCCAGTGTGTCCTGATGTCTCTCTACCTAAACCCTTAAGTAGCAGGTCAGTCACCTCATGGACACTCAGAATCCATTTGAACCAGATGCAATGGAGCATGGCTTAGAGAGGTCTCTCCAGATGACACCGGGGCAGAGGAGCCCCTTGGTAGGTTCTCCTGCTGTTGGTTGCCCCGAGATGCAGCCCCTCCCCAGTAGAAGACTGGAAGGGGCGGGGCTAAGATTTCCCTAGGACTTTGATTCTCCTACCCACAACCACTGCACCGAGAGGTGTGGCCATCATTGCTGTGGCTTGTGCCCAGTGCCATGACCAGAGGCAGCAGGGAGCCCTTGACCCTGGAGGTAGAGATTTCAGATACAGCCATGCAGCTCTCTCTCTCTCAGCCACCAGTTGCTCAGTTGAACCCCTGTGAGAACTCCCTCAGCTTCTTTATCAGGGTGAGGAGAACTAGGAAGAGGACGGGGTACTCAGGAATAGCCTGAGAAAAACTTAGGGGGACCCGCAACCTCCCCCGGTTCACTGCCCATTTGGTGGGGCCCTGGTGCTCTGCTCATGTGTCTGTCACACTGCAAGACACTGCGGCAGGGAGGGGGACCATGGACTTACAGGCCCACGTGGTAAAGGCTGGGTCCAGGTACTGGCTGGGAGGGGGTGGAGCCTTTAGAGGTGGAGGTCCCTGGGGGTGTGTCCTCGAAGGGAATTTATGGAACCCTGGATTCTTCTCTCTCTCTCTCTTCCTTCACAACCATGAAGTGAACCGGTTTGGTCCACCATGATGATGTGCTGCCCTCACTCACCAGGGGCCTAACCTCCAAAACCAAGGGAAAATAAATCTTTCCTCTTTATAATTTCATTATCTGAGGAATTTTGTTATAGTAATGAAAAGCTGATGTCCTACAGGACTCGTTGCCCTCAGAACTGCAGCCTTCATCCCATGCTCTTTGGACCGCACATCACCACTTCACATATTTTTTTTTTTGCCTTGTCTCTCTTGCTAGATTGCAAACACTTTGAAAGCAAAGACAAAAATGTCTATATATTTTTTCTCCTATGACCCTCTAGGATCTTAAGTGGAGCCCAATATATGTGCATTGTTCTACATTTATAAACTATCCACAAATCCCATATCATTAGGATCCCAAGGCAAATAAGATCTGTACCTACCAGGGGTCGGAGATCAGGATGTGAGAGGATGTAGCCATTGTTAGTGTTCATAAAGGCATATCCGTGTACCCCAAGCTGCCAAAGTCAGGAAAGAAAGGGCATGAGACTGCTGCTGTGTTGGACAACTACAGGGGCTGGGTCTGCAGGACGGCTGAGGATGGCTGCTCACAGGAGTTTTTCAAATAGGAACAGCAATGTACCAATAGCATGCTGACCACTGGCCATGAAGTCCCTTCTAGCTTCTGCTGTTTGTAACAACCATGATAACGCACATCATCTCCTGACTCTTCCAACAGGGCCTCTAGGTGCTTTTTTTTTAATATCTATTTTTTAGTTGTGGTTGGACATGATATCCTTATTTTATTTATTTATTTTTATGTGGTGCTAAGGATCGAACCCAGAGCCTCACACATTCGAGGCGAGCGCTCTACCCCTGAGCCCCAGCCTCAGCCCGCTCTAGGTGCTTTGATGACATCTCTCATTCATTCCCACAGCAGGACTGTGTGGCATGGAGGAGCAGATTGGGAAAACCAGGGAGGGAAAGAACTTGCTGAAGGCCACACAATAAGTCGTAGCTAGTGGTGACAGAGGGCTCCTGAGGACAAGCTGCTGTCACCATGCTCAGTGCCTGCACCTGTCTGGGGCTTAAGTATGTGTGTGGGGGGTCCATCCTACTCTAGGCTCGGCTGCCATGGCCTGGACAGAGGCTCTTGGGCCTGGGTGGGGCAGCCCCAGGGGAACCTGTACCTGCCCCATTACAGTTGGATCTTAAATGTCTCACAAAGGCCCATCTGTTGAAGGGTTTGGTTGCTAGCCTGTGGCACTTTTGGGAAGTTAGTGGAACCTTCAGGAGATGGAGCCTAGTGGGAGAGAGTTAGGTTATTGGGGTGTGCCCTCAAAGGGGATATTGGGACCCTGGTCACTTCTAGTCTTTCTTTTCTTCCCAGCTACCATGAAGTAACATTTTTTATCCACCATGCACTTCCACCTTGGCAAAGCAATAAGGCCAAATGACCATAGACTAACACCTTTGAAGCCATAAACCTAGATAAACCTTTCCTCCTTATAAGTTGATTTTCTCAAGTAATTTGTCACAGCAATGGAAATTTAACACATTACCCTCAGAGACTTGACCCATGCTCACCTTGTATCTGGGTGCCAGCTTCATCAGCTCTCTCAGGGTTACATCGGAGCCCACCACACCCAGGAGAATGCCATGGGATCTCTAGAAGGAAAAACAGGAGGATTAAGGAGACTTCTCGTAAATGAGGCCAGACCAGACCCTAGGCTTCTCCAGAGCTCCAGAGAGGAAGCCATTTAGGCCTTAAATGAATCTTCCTCTGCAGTTAGATTTTAGACGGAGCTCTTTGGAATAAAAATTTAGAATTCATCAGAAAAAGCCCCAGGAGTCATCTTAGCTGCTGCGAAGATTAATGCCCAGTATTAATATTTAAGTGGTAATATTTAGATGAAATCCAAAGTTGAATGAAATATTAATCTTCACAGAAGAGGCTGAAGTACTGGGATCCTGGGGACCATAACTTACAGGTGCTCTGAGCACAGGGGACCTGTGAGAAAGTATTTCCTGGCCAGACAGAGGAGGGAAGTCTGCAGAAATCCCCCCACCCGAGACTTAAACACAAGTCAGAGTCTTTCCAACATGGCCTTCCATGCTTGAAGGCTTGCAGAAGACCCCTCTAACTTTGTATCCCCAATGCAGGGGGTCCTCAGGGCAGAGAGGGAGCTTTGAGAAGGACAGACTCCGGGCCCCACTCTGACCAAGAGGCCTGGGCAGAGCCACTCTGGGACAAAGCATGGGAATCTGCATTTGAACGCTCCCAGCCTGGCCTCAAGGACTCCCTGGTCTAAAGGTGCCAGGTTCTGATCCCTGCTGCCTCACGGGGAGACGCCACTCACTGTCTCGTTCTTTTTGCTGAAGACAGGCATGGCCACGGTAGTGAGGAGCATCAGGCTCTGTGACTTCGAGGTAAAGAGCTGCCGGGGGAAAGGCAAGGGTCAGTGAGGAGGCTGGATGCCCACTGGTTTGCACCTCTGAAAGCAAGTGGGGAATCACAGTCGTGGAGCCAACAACTCAGAATCACCTTCCAACAGGAAGGAAGAGACCTTAGGTGAGGTGTCCCCTCTGTGCAAAAAGGGGAGCTGGCAGGAATGCTGGGCGAGCGGTGGCTGGAGAGGAAGACGAGGCCCGTGTCCTGAGCCCCCAGCCCAGCTCCCGCGTGTGTTCACCTAGCTGTCTCATCCTGGCCAGGCCAAGGATGAGCATGAACGCGGGAAACAGGCCAGGAGCAAAGAATCTTGGGATAGCATGAGTTTTCCCAGAAACCTCTGATATGAATTTGAGGTTGCTAGAAACCCTAGCCTTGCTCTCCTCTCCTCAGGGCCCACCTTGCTGTCCATGTAGGCCTCCGTCCAGATGATGTCATGGTCATGGTTAATGACCATGGGGCGGCTCAGCACATGCAGATATTCCATCACGTTCTCCTGGGCGTCGGCCAGCGTGGAGATCTGCGTGTAGTAGCCTGGTGGCGGGGGTGGGGGTGGGGGTTCCATGGTTGCAGAATGAGGAATGATCTTCCCAATGTCATTCAGAGTTTCTGGGCAGGGCCCACAGGACCTCCTGGCTCACAGCTGGGCCCCTCTTGGGACGGCCCAGGCCATAGGAAACTGTTTCTCCAAGGTTATACCCCGTCCACCAGGGGCAGCTGGAGGCCAGAGGGGGACAAAGGCCCACACTGCCTCCACTGGGGACATCTCAGAGGGGTCTCCAAGCTCCAGAGCCCCCATAGGAGTAGCAGGGGCCTTGATTTCAATGACAGTGCTCCCCATTAAATATTCTATCTTGTCACTCCATCGTAGGGTCTGTTTTCAGGGCCACAATCAAAGCCAGTGATTCTTGTCCTCCTCTACTCCACAGCCTCTGAGTTTCCCTGATCACCATCCTCCCTCAGGTCTCTGGGGTTACGGGATGGGTTCCTACAGCCTCTTCTCTGTAGCAGCCATAGTGTGATATTTAAAAGAGCAAATAGCTCATAAGGCTACAAATGGTTTAGTGCATGTTTACCTCTCTGGTCTCATTGCTCATTACTTTGCACAAAACATTCATTCTTCATGCCAGTAAAAAGGAACAGCTCTTAGGTCCTCTTGTCTCAGACCCTGTGAGCAGACTCTTCCCTCCATCTGGAATACCTTTCCTTTCCATCTCCCAAACCTGGGTAAGTATCTCTTCCATTGCACCCCTAGAACACACCAGCCAGTCTGTGCCCTTCCACCATTACAGCACATTTTAGATTATATCAGATTCTAAATCTATTCTGATCACTCCTGATTCCCTAGCACCTGGAAACAGTATTGGGTACACAGTAGATGCTCAATGAATTTTTGTTAAATTAACAGAGCTTAAGTTGACACTGAAAAACCCAGGTCTTGGGTTCTGGTCAGAGATACAGAACTGATTGCACACAAAACATTATCCCCAAGAAAACGGTGACCCTCTGTTTTTTTTCCTTTAGAGTTAATGGCTTAATTTGCATGTATGAAGCAAGGCGCTTTGCTCACCTTTATTGTTGCAGGCGATCCACTTCAAGCGGTCAGCAAAAGATACTTCTCTCCCAATAAGGTAAGTGAAAACTCGGACCTAATCCATAAGACGGGACGGGCTCAGCAGACACAAATAGTGTTATCTTCACTTTTGTGAGGCTTAGATGTTGGGGCAGGCCACTCTCAAAAGTCACACCTACTTTTGGTCAGAGAAGATCCTGAGGCCAAGGCAGCAATGTGGCTTTCCCTGGGCCATGGTGAATATGGAGGAGGTTCAAGGGCAAACAGTTTGGCTGTTCTTATGTCTCAAAATCATGTTCTGGGGTGGGGTTGTGGCTCAATGGTAGAGTGCTTGCCTCACATGTGTGAGGCACTGGGTTTGATTCTTAGCACCGCATATAAATAAATGAATAAAATAAGGTCCATCAACAACTAAAAAATAAAATTTTTTTAAATTAAAAAAAAAACCCACAAAAACATATTTTGGTCTCTGAAGTCCTTACACCAGTCCTTGGGGCCCAGGGTGACCCTATTTTGGAACTTCCAATTAGGACATACCTGAATTTATATTCTAAATCTAATGGGAAAGAACATTGCACTTGAGGCTCTTCTGCCATTGTCCTCTCCATGGAGGGAGTAGGACAAGCACCCTCCTTCCCCATGACCTCCCGCAGATCAGTCACCTTGCGATCCGGCCAGTTATACTTCTGGAATATTGGCTCATAGCCCTCCACGGCCCCGTCAGTGATCAGCATGATGGCTTGGTTGCAGACACTTCCTTGCCGGGCCTCTTGGAACTGTGTAGGGCAGGAGGAGTTCAGTCAGCACAGAACAGGACTCTCCCACCTCTGTCTCCAAGCTCCCTCATAATCCCCTGGCTCTCCAGGCCTCACCGCCTGCAGGTACCTTCTTCAGGATCTGGAAGGCCTCATTCAGGGCCTGGTCCACGACCCCCACACCTTTGACCACCAGCTCTTCCACCAGCTGTTTGAAATGCTGTCAGGGTAAACAGTAGAGGGGGCTCAGTGGATGGAGCATTCCAGGGAACCTTTGTCTTTGGTCTGAATTGAGGAGGCTAACTTGGAACTATTGCCAGAAAGGCAGGGTTGCAGGGTCCTAGCTGGATGATATGGCTAATCACATGGGGGGGGACCCCTACAACAGACGTTTCTCAAATGCCCCCAAGATAATGAGAATGAATGGCATGGCACAGATCCATCCTCCCACTGGAAGGAAGTGCAAACACGAGACCAACCAGATGGAGGAGGACAGTCCAGGGCTGGAGGCCATGAATGACCTCAGCATCAAGCCCTTGACTCAGTCACAAGCATGTCACAGGAAGACTGTGGGGGTGCCAGGGACTGAGGCCAAGGCTCGAGAGGACACTAAACCCAGACTCCCTGCAGACGGACATGAAAATGCTCCCTTTTAAAAATCGTTGCCGTGTCCTCTTATCTTTTTCCTTTTATCAGAGGAAAGGACTCAACCCTATGCATTGGAATTTGTCCTCCCTTCAGGGAAACTGTCACGGAGACTGACATGGAGAAAGGCCCACACGGGAAGTGAAGGGGGAAACTGAGCCTGGATCCTCACAGAGAGAGACTCACTTCCCCAAGGAAGGGAGACCCTTGGGATGTGAGGTCTGCTTGCTCACACTTTGATCTGATGAGCAGCAACACATCGATCAGGGTGATTTCCGGGTGTCTATGAACAGGGTCTACCATCCTGCTTTTCAAGTAGGCAAAAGGAGCCACGAAGCAGTCGTCACAGACGCTGGTTCTGTCCTGACAAGGGTACAGGGCCACACGTGGACACTCACCTCTCGGTTGTCTCGATCTGCCTGGACCAGGATCCCTTTAAAACAGGGCTCAATATAGTGAACGTAGTCATTGTACTGCAGTCGCGGTGAGGAGGGAGGAGAGAACAGACGGGTCAGGGTGGGAGAAGTCCCAGCTGCTCAGGAGTAGGGTTCCCGTGGGCACCTGCGTAGTGTCTCGGGGTGCTCTGAGCTTTTTGCGGTTTGTCTGACCAGAGTAATAACAGAGCCTTTGCTTTAAACATTCTCCCTCAAACCTGGCCCTGGTATGCTTCCTCAGCTGGCTGCCTCAGTGACACCTTCCTGAGCCTACAGAGAGACCCTGAAGTTACCGAAAGAATCTCTTTGTTCTCTGATCCCAAAACCAGATGAGGTGCTGGTCTTGCACCAGAATCCCACATGTGGGTCCCTCCTTGTCGGGTCTGAGTAGGGGATTAGAAGATGTGCTGTTTTACCTTTGCCCTTCATTTATGCAGAGGGTCCTTTGACTATCAACAGTGGGTGGAGTAAGGAGAAAAATGAACCATCACTGCTCCCCTTTTCTTAATTACCCCACTCCTCACAATTGGAATACAAATTTTCAAGGTGTCCCTAATCCACCTTCTGCTTAAGTAAGGGACTGTGATGACATCACAACAGAGCTGCATGGGTTCTGGGGACACTGGGGGGGGATGTTTCCCTCTCTAGCTACTTCGTAAGCAGCTGGGGAAACAGGACAGGAGGTAGGAGAAAAGGGCTGGGCAGGCTGCAAGGGACGAGGGTGTTGTCCCTCTCCTGTGGAATGTGGAACCTATATTCAGTGGTCCTCCTGTCACTGCTGTGGGTCTGGGGTCAGGGAGGAGAGAAGGGGGTTAGGAGTGATGCAGGTGGGTAAGCAGAGGCCTGGGGGAGCAACTCAGGGACTGGGGGGCATCCTCACACCCCAATGTGGTCACTGAGGAGTTAGACAACTTTTTCTTGACGTTTCATTACTAAGTCAACTCTAGTAGAGAAGAGAAATGCCAGTCATGTGGTAGACTGGTAGAGGAGGTTTTTGGATCATGTGGACAGTCTACTGTGCGTCTGTTGAGGGCTGAGCTGGCCAACCCCTTTCATTGGATTTTTAAATCATTTGCCTCACTTATGTCTCCCCTCTTCTTTCCCCCACGGTGTCTGGATTTGGTGGGATAAAGGAAGTGGGAGAACTGGAATCGTCAGAGAGGAAGAACCAGGGATCATTTGTCCTCCAGCAGCATGGGAAGCTGTTCAGGGACAGGCATTATTCAAGGGCACGTGGATGTGAATCAAGTAGGTCTAACTTGGCCAGTGCTTCTTAACCAGTATCGGGTCTAGAGTCCTCTGAAAAACTAACAAAAGATATGGACTCAGAAAACCAGATGTGTACATTTTACATAAGATTTTAGAAACTTCCCAGACTTCCTGAAGCCCATCCTTAGGTGAACCATGCACCTTATGTTGGGGGCCCCGGTTACAGAGGAAATAATTTTTGCCTGATGAGAGGCATCCACTGGCTGTAAGTTAAAGTCCTGACACAGATGGAGGAAAGTTTTCCTAGAGCAAGTGAGAGCTACCCCAGCACAGGGAAGCACATTTACCGCAATGATATTAACAAAGTCATTCTCTCCCAGGGTGTCCAAGATGGTGATGATGGTGTGCTTGGCAATAGCCATCCTCAGCCCCTTCATGCTGCCACTTATGTCCACCAAGATCATTATGTCCTTGGGAGAAGTAGCAGCTTGTATGTACCTTTAGCAGAAAGAAAGGGACAGGTCAGAAAAAACACTTGACCAAGGGCCTTCAGCTATTTCTATTTAGATTCTGCCCCAAGGTCAGTCCATGTCCCCTCAGTGACAGGTTTTATCATGCCCCATAATCACTGGACTCTGAAGCCATTCAGGGAAGTGAAATGTGTCCACTTGATGGGACCGGTCAAGTCCCTCATCCTTTTTGACTTAGACCAGTGAGGATCCCTGAGAGGCTGGCAGCAGGAAAGGAGAGAGCTGGATTCCAGCCTGGAGTAGGTTACAGATGTGCCAGAAGGAGGGTGTTGAGAGAGAGGAGGAGGTAACACAGGGTAGAGTTGGGACAGCCCAGTGTCCTGGAAGGGGGTCTGGTTTGGAGAGACACTACAGTCCATGCTGGAGCACACATGGCTGTGGACGGAGGAGTCCAGCTACCTTAAATCTTCCTGCTCTTGTGTGGAATTAGGCTTCTACATACCCAAGGCCTTGGGTGGTGCTGGGGAGGGTGGGGATCGTGAGTGGAGCAAACCCAAAGCACTTCCCTGTGAGCTCTTACCAGCCACGGTTTCGACAGTCGAAGGTAATGACTCCATTCTCATCCGGTGTCCATTTTATACCTGGGGAAATCAAGGCTGGTTCTTTGACTAGCTCAATGAGGTCACCCCAGAGCCCCTGGCTGGGTGCTAAGTCCCAGGACAGTTAGGATTCCCAAGGCAGGACCTGCTTTGGACATGGGCAGGAGGGCAAGGAGCACCTGACCACATCCTACAAACTGAGGCAGCTGGAAAGGAGATACCACCCAAAATTCAAAGGGCCAAAATTGGGAATAAGTTCACAGTCAGAAAGGACCTCTATATGTGGAGCCTTGGGCTTTTTGTGAGGCTCAATGTCCTATCAAAGCTCTGGAATGGTGTGATTTTAACATCCATTACCATCTAGCAAAGTATGGACAAAGAGAAGAAAGAGCCAGGCGCTTTGGCTTCTGCTCTGTACTCAGGTTAAGCTCATTAGCACTCCCGATCCTTCCTGGACTGGGAGAAATGATGTGACTGCACAATTATAAGCTACTTGAAGTCAGGGATTCCTGGACCAAGCAGAGCTCATAATGTCTGTCACCTGAATGAAAGAATGAACGGATGGCCAGCCATCAAAGACGTTGCTTTGACCACTAGTAGAGAACCTGGGATAAATTTGTTCTATTCATCTAACCCAACATTTATATAAAGACACACAAAGCACAGAAAACACTAATGTGATCCACAATAAAAATCTCTCTTTGGAGTGACTTTCACAATTTGGAACAGAGGGTTCAAAATAAGATTTAAAAATTGTAATTATTGAAATTGTAATATATTGTGCTTGCACTAGAAAAGAAAATGTGGTGGTATCATGACTATCTAGAAGCTTCAAGGGATCTTCTAATTTCACAGTAGTTTGACTTTAGATATGATGTGCCCTTTCAGACCCTGCTGGATTACAAGGGTAGAAAGAGGATTCAGGGCCCTTTGAGTGAGAGGCAGCAAAACTAAGAGCCCAGGAATTATAGAAGTCGAAACCACCAAATACAAAATAAAGGATAGGTGTGTTTGAGAAATCACAAAGAATGTTCAATAAGAGAAGATCAGTAATGAAGAAATAGTCTTAAAAATATAGAACTTTGAGAAATGAAGAAAATATTTAGGTAAAAATAAATTAAGTGGCTATCGAATTATTCATAGATAAAGAGAAAATTCACTCAGTTAAAGGAGTTATCCAGGATTGTATACAGGGTAGGATGAAAAGGTCTAATACATGTCTGATTGGAGACACAGAAAGAGGAAAGTTTGAGAAGGATAACTTTAAAGAAATTATGTTGGCAAATGTTCTAGAGCTGATAAAACACAACTCCTCAGACCAGGGACCACAAAAGATCCCAAGCAGGACGAATAAAAAGACAATATTACTCAGCCATAAAGTATGAAATGAAATTATGGCATCTGCCAGAAAATGGTTGGAACTGGAGACTTATCATGTTAAGTGGAATAAGCCAAATGTTCTCTCTGATATGTGGATGCTAACACACAGTAAGAGAGGAGAGGGAAGAATAGAAGTTCATTAGACAGAAGGGAATGAAGGGAAGGAAGCGGGATGGGAATGAGAAAGACAGAAGAATGAACTGGACATAACTTTTCTATGTTCACATATGAATACACGACCAGCATAACTCCATATCATGTAACCACAAAAATGAGAAGTTATATTCCATGTATGTATGCTATGTCACAATACATCCTACTGTCATGTACAACTAGAAAGAAGAAATAAATAATCTAGTTAATAAAAAACAAACAAAGAAACAAGACACTCACACACACTTTTTGAAACTGCAGAACTTCAAAAGCAAATAAATACATATCTTGAAAAAAGCCACAAAGACCAAAACACTCAACCCTGGTGGAAGCCACAAGCCAGAAGCAAACAAACAAAAAACCAAACAAATAAAAAAGAAACCCATCACCACCACCCCAAACAACAAAAGCCAGTCTTAAATGTTGAGAGAAAAGAAGTTAATTTAGAATTGCACTCCCAGCAAAAACATCATTCAAGAATGAGGACAAGGGGCAGGGGCTAGGGCTGGGGCTCAGAGGTAGAGGGCTCACCTCGCACGTGGGAGGTGCTGAGTTCGATCCTCAGCACCACATAAAAATAAATAAATAAAATAAGGGTACTGTGTCCAACTACAACTAAAAATATATTTTAAAAAGAATGAGGAGAAAAAAAGCATCCGTAGGTAAACACAATGGGCAGAGCATGCTGGGTCGGCGCTGTGAACATCAGACAAAGGAGACTTACAATGAAACGTGTCACTGTGCTAATGAGATGAAGCAAAGCAAAAAATGAACGAAGACAGAAAATTTAGTCGGTACTATTTTAGTCGGTGACCAAAATACCCAACCAGAACGACTTAGAAAAGTTGATTTTGACTCCTGGTTTCAGAAATTCAGTCCATGGTTGGCTGACTGCTGTGCTCTGAGCCTGAGGTGAGGCAGAGCATCATCGCAGAGCAGAGCGGGGAGGGGGATCAAGGCACCAGAAACGAAATATAAACCCCAAAAGAATGTCTCCAGAGGCTCACTTCCTCTAGTCATACCCTACTTGCCACTCAGTACAGAGGACCAAAGTGGAGTGACAGTTGCCAGAGGCTGAGGGGAAGAAATAACAGAGTCAAGATTTAATGAGCCTAGAACTAAAGCTTTGCAGAATGAAAAGGGTTCTAGAGATGGATGGTGTTGATGGTTGTACAGTGACAGCACACTCAATCCCAGTAGGCGCTTAAAAATGTACTCAAAGATGAAAGATATAGAAAATTTTATGTTATGTATATTTTTCCTCAATTTAAAAATTAAAAAAATTACAAACTCTATACCAATCAAAACTTGTGAGAGCAGCAAAAGTAGAGCTTCGGGTGACAGGGTACAGCCTTAATACTTATTTTAGAAACACAGAAAGGCCAAAAATTTAAACTAAGTGTCCATTTAAGAGGTTAGGAGGAGGAATGGCAAAATAAATCCAAAGAAAGGGAAAAAAGAAAAAAATTTAGATCAGAAAGTTAGAGCCAAAATAGATCAAATATGAAACAAAGAACTAATAGAGAACAACCAACCAAAACAAAAGACGATTCCTGAAAAGATTAACAAATAGAGAAACCAATGGAAAAATTATGAAAAATATATATAATTATACAAATAAAAAGATACATAATAATAGATATAGCAGAGATTTAAAAGAGAATAATAGATTCATATGAATAAATCTGAAAACTCAGATGAAATGAATGGATTCTGAATAAAAGTATTTCATTAATAAAATAAAAGTATTTCATTAATAAAATAAAAGATCCTAATAAAAGTATTTTAGGAAGAAATAGAAAGTCATATTAATGTTTCAAGAATTAAATAAATTGAAGTGATAATTTTATATCCCCATATAGAAAACTTCAGGCCAATGTGGTTTTATAGATAACTTCTATGAAACTTTCAAGGAAGAGATCTTATTCAAATTCTTCCCAAAGCCAAAAAAAAAAAAAAGAGAGAGAGAGAGTGCACTCCAATTTATTTTACAAAGCTAGTATAACTTTGAAAATCCATCATGTACAGAAAGAAAAATTAGAAGACCATTTCACTTGTAAATATAGATGCAAAAATCCTCCTCTTTTTTTTTTTTTAATGAAGCTGGGAATTGAAGCCAGGGCCTTGTGCATGATGGACAAGTGCCCTCAGCCCTAGATGCAAAAAACCTAAACAAAATATTAATAAACTGCCAGGCACTGAGGCACACGCCTGTAATTCCTGTGGCTTGGGAGGCTGAGGCAGGAGTATCATGAGTTCAAAGCCAACCCAGCAAAAGTGAGGCACTAAGCAACTCAGTGAGACCCTGTCTCTAAATAAAATGCAAAATAGGGCTGGGGTTGTGGCTCAGTGGTTGAATGCTCCTGAGTTCAGTCCCTGGGACCTAATAATAATAATAATAACAACAACAATAATAAATACAACCAATGTATAAAAGGATTTACTATAATCAAGTTAGGGTAGTCATAGGAAGGCAAGGATAGATTCACATGAGAAAATTCAATAGTTAAGTGGGCAAAATATAATATGTATTACACAGAAGAGGAAGAACAGGGAGCTAATAACATAAAATGGTGCTCTACTTCATGAGTGACCAGGGAAATGCAATGTCAAACCACAGTGAAATGCCATTTTTTTGACTAAAAATTCATCAACAAAAATTTTAAAATTTAATGATATCCAGAATTAAAGAAGATGTGGATCTCTTAGTCATTGCTTATTGGAATGTAATTGGTGCAAGTTTCTGAAACACAATTTGAAATTTTTTGTCAAAGGTGAACTTCATATATCTTAAAACTTAGCAAGGAGCTGGGGTTGTGGCTCAGTGGTAGGGCGTTTGCATATAGCATGTGTGAGGCACTGGGTTTGGTTCTCACCCCACATATAAACAAATTAATTAAATAAAGGTCCATTAATAAAAAAATCTTAGCAATTTTATTCCTAGGTATAAAACTAAGGGAAACTCTTATATCTCAGGAGACAAGAGTCTTTATAACAATATTGCTTATAAAAATGAAAAACAAAGATGGGAAGCAATTCATTTAGGATCAAAAGGATGGATAAACTGTGACAAAGAAGATGTGACAATATAGATGAAGAAGTAAGCTCCAAATATCCATATACTAAACTAGTTTTATGTATTTCAAAGAACAAGCAAAGCAGAAAGAGGATTCTGGAAGATGGCAGAGTAGGCAGCACCAGAAATCCATCTCCCCATCTAGGGAAGAACAGTGCTGGTAGAATCTGTCTGATGTAACTATTTTGGAACTTTGGGGTCTATTAAAGGCTTGCAACTTGTAGGGGAAGTCTTTGATGGTATATTGCAGTTAATTTCTCTCAATTTTAGCTCCTAGCATAATAGCAGCTATCCACCCCCAACACCTCATCCCCTGGCTCTGTGGCAGGCAGCTGTGCATGTGTTCTCAGAGCAGCTTGTACACAGCTTGCAGGAGCCAGCATAGGCAAAAATGGACCCTGTTGTATATGGACCCTGCATATATGAAGTTCCT